TAGGATTAAAGGTGTGTGCCACCAACACCTGGCCTCATCTCTCTTCACTCATCTGAGTCCTAAGGAATAGCTTGGGTTGTCAGTCAGATAGCAAGTACCTTTATCTGCTGAGCCTCCTGTGGCCCACACTTGCTGTACTTTAAAGTCAGTTGCAGGGTTGGAAAGCTGGCTCAGTGATTAAGAGTACTTGCTACTCTTTCAGGGAACAGGAGTTCAGTTCCCAGCACCCACGTGGCACTTCACAACTGCTTATGACTCCATTTCTAGAAGAATGGATACCCTCCTCTGGCCTCTGTGGATGGTGCATGGATGTGGTACACTTACATGTGACAAAACACTCATATACATAAAATGAAAACAAAATCTTTGGCCAAGCAATGGTGGCATGAGCCTTTAATCCCAGTACTCAAGATTCAGAGGCAGGTGGATCTCTGAGTTTGAGGCCAAAGTCAGTTGCTTCACAATTGGAGTTGTTCTAGATTTCACCTTCCCTGAAGCACTAAGGGAAGAGTCTGCCGTACTGATCATTGAGTGTCTTGTGTCTCCTGAGTCTGACGGGCTCAGGTCTGGTGATGGGCCTCTCCTATGTGTGCAGATTGTGGCGGTTCCAGGCTCTGTTTGGCTTTAGAGACCCACAGATGGTTTCAGTTGTTAATGGGTTTTGCTTTCTCCCTTCCTCCTCTAATGTGCGGCCTCTGCAGAGACTGCGCAGCTACTCCTCATAGTTTCTGATGGACGAGGCCTTTTCCTCGAAGGCAAAGACAGAGTCCTGGCGGCAGTCCAGGCTGCCCAGAATGCCAACATCTTCGTCATTTTTGTTGTGTTGGATAATCCCAACTCACGGGTGAGTGATGGCCAAAAGCCACGATTCTGCAGATAAAGGGGCCCCTTGAACTTGCTCTGGAGTCTGGCTCAGCTCTGCCATCTAAGGTGCTGGTGCTTTGTACATTTCATTAAGCTTCCCACACGTGAAGAACACCCTTCCTGACACAGAAAGAACACAGGTCATGAGTAGGAAAGCAGGGAGTCCCAGACTTCACAAGCCCTCCTCTTGAGTCTAGGCTCCCTCTAGATGAAAAGTATGGCAGTTGTGAGCCCCGAGCACCTTTAGGTAGAGACCAGCCTCCCCTCGCCCGCGGGCGCTGGCAGACTGCAGGAGCAGTAGCTGCAGACTCACTGGGCTGACTGGGGTGAGTGGGGATCTCTCCGCAGAGCGCACAGACACTGTGGCAAGGAGAGTTTCTTCTTTGTCCCTCTTCCTTGAACTGCCCCTTGTCCTAGAAGGGGAACTCAGAGAGAGCTGCCTTCTTCGTGAATGTTTTGGAAATTCCTCTTATGTAGGAATAAAAAGTTTGTCAGCTGACAAGATCACCAATGAGCTCGTCAAGAATCTGATTTATTTTTCCTATTTCTTTCCAAATGTCTTTTGTTAACAGGATTCTATCTTGGACATTAAAGTACCAATATTTAAAGGACCAGGAGAGATGCCTGAAATCCGATCTTACATGGAAGAGTTCCCATTTCCATTTTACATCATTCTCCGAGATGTGAATGCACTTCCTGAGACCCTCAGTGATGCCCTGAGGCAGTGGTTTGAGCTGGTGACAGCATCTGACCACTCATAGAGCAGAAACCGCCTGTGGTGAAGCTGTGTGATCACAGCGTCTTCCCCTGGGCTCCCCTAGACAACCGTTTGTGAACTCAGTGCTCTGAGACTGCTTCTTCATCTTGGTTCTGGTTGGTTGGTTTGTTTTTTAATGTATCCAGCAGTTACAAAAACAAAAAATGATTGCACTATACGTTTGTATTACAACCTAGAAGAGCTTAGCACGAGCTCTTGAACTCCCTGCCTTGCCGAGCACTGAAGGCTCACAAGCGGTACCAGGCTCGTGACTAGGGACCAGGTAGAGGTCACACTGCCCCCTCTCTGGAGTCCAGCCACTTACTTTCCTCTGGCAGTGGCCTCGACACCTTTCTTGAGGGAATGCTTCCGGGAGCATGGGACTGTATCTGCCGGTCCTTTGGAGATCCTGTTGGTCCTTGCCTTAAGCTCTACCTTGGTTGGGTGCTACTTATCCTGCTTAGAAAGCAGGAAACGTAGCAGGAATGTTCTCATAACGCAACCAGCAGAGTTCTCAGCAAAGATGATCATAGAGCTGTGCGAAAACGAAGCAGCTTTTTGTGCCCTTCACAGTGGCTGCTCGGGAGACTATGCAATAATGGAAAGGGGCCCCCCCTTTCTTCATTCTGACTGCCATAGCCCCTTGCTGTAATTTATTCCTTAGCCACCCTTCCCCAGTGTCAAGAGGAGGAACTATTCCTCATACTGCTTTCAGGCTCCCCTGAGCCAGTCTCCCTGTGGAAAGGAATAATGCTGTATCCACAAGAGCTAAACAGCTCCATCTTCCCTCACTCACACCAAACATGGTAGTGGTGGGTTTTGTTTGCTAGGAGGTGGGGGCAGGTTTCCTTGGCCAGAAAGCAGTGTTTGAATACTTGAAATCATGTGCTGTGTTCTATTTAAATGTTGTTTGTAGACATTGTCTGTGCATCTGTCTCCGTGTCTGTTTGCAGCTTACACTGACGTGTGCCACCCTTCTGTGATGGTCATCAAAGACAGGTTGCTTATTGTTTAACAGAGTGTCCGAAGCATGTGCTGAAAGTTATATTATTTTTATTCGAAAACGCTATGCAGCTTATATTCTGAAAGCTATTAAATAATTGTTGAGTTAATCTTTGATCATTCTTTTAGCTTTTATTCTTTGAAGATTTCACATTATGCATCCTGATCTCACCCACCTCCCCGCCACCATCCTTTCTCTGCCCTTGCAACCCCTCCCCCCCCAAAAAAAATTTTAAAAGAAAATCAAGCGGGGGGGGGGGGGGGGGGCAGGAAGAATCTCATCGTGGAAGCTGTCTTGTGGCCCACTGAGTCACACAGTTCACCCTTCAGTCCTTTCGTCTTCACTTGAAAATGGTCGTTGGTCTGGCCCTAGACCTCTGACCTCTGCTTCACCGGGGATAATGGGCTCTCACTGGAGCTCCTCTTGGGTATCCTGTTGTCCTGTGTCGTGGAGATCCTGCTGTTTTGGATCTGTAAGTTTGTCCCCTTCACCTGCTCCAGCCGCTCACAGATGAGGTGGATGTTGGGGTGACCTACTCATAGTCCTGGGCCTGGGTGGTAGCTGGGTTGGTCAGCCCGCCAGCTACCCCCATCATCACCACCTGGATGAACTCTCCGGCGCTGCCTCAGCCGGACCACCCAGTGTAGCCTGCTGTAAGAAGCGGGGCCGGTTCTGCTCTCAAGGCCTGGGTCCAGCTCCCCCACACATACGCCCAGGTGAGTACAGGGTCAGCTCTCGTGTCCTGCCCAGGCTGGGTGTGGGGGCCAGTCTACCAGGTGCTGAAGCCGGTGAGGGACAGTCCTCCAGTTCTCACCATCACTTTCGCCTGCCACGGGTAGCAAGGGGGTGGGAGGAGCTTTCCCTCACACATGCTGCCACATGGCAGATGAGGGGGGGGTCCAGCTATCCTGACACTGACAATGGGGTCAGCTCTAGTGTGCTGCCCAGGGAAGGTGCATGCCCATGGTGAGGGGTCGGGGAAGCTTTCCTGCTGTAGTATCCAGCAAGGGGCAGGGCCAGCTACTTCAATCATTCTTAATGGGCTAGGAGGAATAGGTAAGGAGTGTGGGAATTGATCCTATCTGCTAATCAGACCGTACTAGCCCACAGACTTCTGGTTTAATGGTAAGGATGCCTGCCTCACTTTCTGTGGTCCATAAGCTGCTGCATGCCGGCTTGGCAGCAGAGGGAAAAGGATAAGCTGGCAGAACCACATGGAGTGGTATAAAGATCTGCTTTATGACGTAACGCTTCACTCACATTGCATTGACCACAGTTCTTACCAACATGTCTAGCTGAGGAGGGGCCTCCCAGATTGTGCCTACAGAGAATGATTACTTTGCCCATAGGGTAGCCCCTGGGGTTTGGACAGAATTCTGATAAACAGGTGCCATTCAACTAAGGCTGTCATTGGAAAGAGAATGACGAGCTTTTAGCCTCCCTCCTATCCCCAGCTACCCAGTCTGGCCAGGTATTTTGTCCAGATAGCTAAGTTCTGATATTTAAGGGAATGAGCAGCACAGTCTGCATGTTGTCTTCTTATTAGGATGACTCCCCTCCCCATAGTCTCAAAATCACCTCATTAAAAAGGCCTTGGAAGGTGAGTGTGGTGGTGCAGTGCACACTTGAGAGGCAGAGGCAGGTGGGTCTGAGTGCCAGGACTAATGTCAAAAGACCAGTAAAGCTATGAAGGTGCAGCGAGGCTGATCGTTGGTGTACTTGAGTAGTCGTGGGTTGCATGGTGTGGCAAGACGTCACTGTGTGAGTACAGTCTGTGAGACTTGAACAGCTATGAGGTTAATCAGCGTAATTTGAAAAGATCAAGTATTGTCATCTCTTGTTAACTGACAGTGTTTGACTATTCAGATGTCTACTAGAGCTGCACTTGGGTAACAGACTTTAAATATACTACTATATTCAAATATAGTGTATTTGAAATATACCGTGTTTAATATACTATATTCAAATATACTATATTTGAATATGGTATATTCACACATACCTTTTCTTTTTTTTTTTTTTTTTTTTCAGTTTTTCAATACAGGGTTTCTCTGTGTAACAGTCCTAACTGAAACCCTGTCTCGAAAAAAACCAAAAAAAAAAAAAAAAAAAAAACCAGTCCTAACTGTCCTGGAACTGCTTTGTAGATCAGGCTGGTCTTAAACTCACTGAGATCTGCTTGCCTCTGCCTCCCAAGTGCTGGGATTAAAGGCATGTGCCATCATCACCTGGCACATATACGATTCTTTCTCAGCGTTGTCTGTATGTCTGCTTACCATTGCATAGCCCAACTTGGTGAAGTTCCACCTATGCATCTCTGTAAAAGAGGCAGTGTAGATGTAACCATCTTGTTAAATAAGAAACACAGAGCCAATACAGAGATAAAAGCCCAAGAGGTCAGAGCAATAGCTAAGAGCTAAAAATCTTACCCTTCGCTGCTGCTTCTGTCCTCCTCAGCAAGAAACTGACTTTCTGTGTGTTTGTCCTTTTTATTGACTTTCTATTCTGCCTTCTCATTGGTTGTAAACCCAACCACATGACCTCTTCGTCACTGCCTGTCTGTACAGACCTCCAGGTCTTCTATGGTTGGTATTGAGATTAAAGGCATGTGTCTCCATGTTGGCTGTATCCTTGAACACACAGAGATCCGCCTAGCTCTGCCTCCCAAGTGCTGGGATTAAAGGCGTGCACCACCACCACCCAGCTTCTGCTATGGCTTGCTATTAGCTCTGACCCCCAGGCAACTTTATTTATTAACATACAAATAAAATTTTATTTCAGTACAAATAAAATATCACCATAAGGCAGAACATTCTGTCCTGTCCACCCAATCCCAAATACCTGGCAACCACTTCCCAAATTACCACACAGAGGTTTATATTAATTATAAATGCTTGGCCGATGGCTCAGACTTATTACTAACTAGCTCTTACATTTAAATTAACCCATTTCTATTAATCTATTTATTGCCATGTGGTCCGTGGCTTATCCTCTGGCATCTTGTTCCTTGGGCAGCTGGCTTGAGTCTCAATTCTGCCCTTCTTCATCCCAGTCCTCAGTTTGATTGTCTAACTTTATCCTGCCTTGCCATAGATCAAAACAGCTTTATTATCAACCAGTGATAGCAACACACACATTCACAGTGTAGAGAAGGGTCATTCCTTAGCACGTCTTTATACTCCATCCATTCCCACCTAGTCATCCATTGAGTGTAACTTCTGGACACCCATCTTCCCTTTGCCTCTGACTGTACTGCAGCTGGAGCTCTTTCAACTTCCAGCCTGACATTCCAACCAATTGTTTGTCTTTGCTTATTCCACTTCTTGCTACTTGTGACATCCAAGTAGCTCTTCTCCAGGTGAAAAGCCCTTCAGAAGCAAGGTGGAGTAGTGCACGCCTTTAATCCCAGCACTTGGGGGCAGAGGCAGGTGCATCTGAGTTCCTGGACAGCCAGATCTACATAGTGAGCTGCTGTCTCAAAAAAAGAAAACGCCTTCGGAGCTCCAGGAGAAGGCCTGGCTCTCCTGTCGCCTCCCTCCCCACCGCTGGTGACAGCAAACCAGAGTTGCTGCAGTGTGCCAGTGTTCCTGTGTTGTCTGGACTCCTTCCTGAAGCGACTCAAGTCGTGCCGTCTTGCCCACTAAACAGTCACATCCACCTTGGCAGCGCACTGAGGAACTTCCTCTGACCAGATGAATAAACAAAATACCTGCTGAACGTATTGCCAAAACAAACGTTACCTGGTTCCCTTGACTGGCAATAATGTCATGGATGTTGTCATTAGAAATGCTGTACCCTGAGCTTCCGTGCTCAGAGCCTCTTTGGGGCAAGGGCCTGTCCTTGGTCGTTGGCTAATGAAGGACTCTAAATTTGGCCTTATTATGTGTGATAGTCTGTAACTTTCTCATTTGAACTATGAGAAGCCCCAGGGAAATTGCCCTCTCCCCACAGGACTTAGCCTCATTCCAGACCTTCCCAGCTAGGGGGAGAGGATGTAGGGGTGGGAGTTGGTGGCTGAAGACATTCCGTGCCTCACACTGAGTCCAGAGATGGCTGTAATGTCCGCTGTACTCCCAGACAAAACAGATTGAGTCCTTCTGGTTCTGAATTAAGTTTGTGTACCAAATTCAGTTCTGGTTGAGAAGGCCAGGCTTCCTGAGGAGCCTTAAGGTCTAAGAAGGCCAGGCCTCCTGAGGAGCCCTCTTAAGGTCTGGGTAGGAAACCCCTGACAAGAAGCCATCCCTTGCCCTCTCATACTATATTGGGACCTAGGATTCTGATTTTGCCTTCCATGAGTGTTTGGGAGACCTGGATTTTGAATGGCTGGCTGGCCAGACTGTGTAAGTGACTGGATGCATTCTGGACAGATTTCTGCCCAGAGGGTAGAGTTTTTGTTATTAGTGTTTCTGTCTTGTCTCCTTTGGTTCTGTCTCAGGGAAAGAGAGCTGGTCTGTCTGTTCTCCAGGCTCACTTTGACTTAGTGGTGACCAGAAGCCAACTTGGGGTATGTGCTTCACCTTTTAGGGAGTGATCTGCTGCCCTTGTCTCCTTTGGTCCAGGAGTTGTGCTAATTCCTTTCCAGGATTATATTGATGGTTCCAGGAAACTGGCTTCGGATCCTTTTGTCTGAGGACTCCCTGGCCGCCTCTTCCTTTCCCTCCCAGGCTCCATGCCTCTCCTCACTTGGTCCCTCCTTCCCAGCCTTTTCTTCTGCTCTCCCAGCTCTCCACCCCTCAGCCTGATCTCAACCCCTCTCATCCCCATCATTCAGCTCCTGCACACAGTTTTGCTGAGAGCCCAAACCTAGTCGGCTCAGCTCCTGCTGTATGGATGGGGGTCTGCCCATGAAGTCTCACTGGCTGTGTGCTTGGGATTCTCTTGCCCTAGGTCTGTGCTCTTTGTTTCTGCACCAACAAGCCTGGGGCTGCTTGCTTTTGTTTCTACTTTTCAGTTATAGAGAAACAAACATCTTTTGGGTATGTTACACACACACACACACACACACACACACACACACACACACACATCTTTCAAATCCAAGCTGCTCCCTGACTTGGAGGGGCGGGAGGAGGGAGCCTTGTGCACATAAAAACAGCTAAGAGGTTAAAAGATGTTTATGTAATTGCAGGTGGTTTAGCTCTGTGAGTACTTCCCTCTCTTTTAAAGCTTTTGCTGAAATGTAAACTTTCAGGATCTGTTAAGATCATGGCAGCCTGAGGAAGGTGTGTGTGTGTGTGTGTGTGTGTGTGTGTGTGTGTGTGTGTGTGTGTGTGTGTGTGTGTGTGTGTGGTGGTTCAGGTGGTAGGGGTAGCTGTAAAATTCCAAGAAAAAAGGTCTGCTTAAAACTTGTAACAAAGTCCAGCACTGGGAGACAGGGGCAGGTAGATCTCTGAATTCGAGGCAAGCCTGCTCTACAGAGAGAGTTCCAGGACAGCTAGGGCTACACAGAGAAACCCTGTCTCCCAAAACCAAAAAACTGAAACAAACCAACAAACTTGGAACAGAAAAGATTGATAGTTAAAAGTCTGTGTACAGGTAATCTTAATTTACGACAGTATGCCATGTTCTTGTCACTGTTCTAAGGCTGTGAAGAGACACCATAACCAAGGCAATTTTTATCAAAGAAAGCATTTAATTGGGGGCTTGCTTACAGTCTCAGAAGCTTGGTCCATGGGCATCTTGGCAGGGAACATAGTGGTTCACAGGTAGACCTGGTGCTGGAGAAGTAGCTGAGAGTTCTGCATCCTAATGATCTGCAGACAACAGAGAGAACTGGATCTAGCATGGGTTTTTGGAACCTCAGCGCCACCCCAAGTGACTAAGCATTCCAGTATATGAGCTTATGGGGGCCATGTTTTGCTCTTGTTTTTTGAGACATGGTTTCTCTGTGTAGCCTCAGCTGTCCTGGAACTAATTCTGTAGATGTAGATCAGGCTGTAGATCAGGCTGGCCTCAGCTCACAGAGATCACCTGCCTCTGCTTCTCAAGTGTGAGGGATTAAAGGCCTGTGCCAGCGCTGCCCATCTTATGGGGGCCATTCTTATTCAAACCACCACTTATGTCATTTGGGTTCAACTCTTAAAGGAAATGAAATTTCAAAAAAGCAAAAAGAAAAACAGAAAAAAAAAATCCAGGCATGGTGGCACATGCCTTTAATCCCAGCACTTGCATGACAAGGGGATGGCCTCTTTTGCCCATATCCTCAATGTCTGGAACAACAGAGGAAAATCACTCTGCACTCGATGTCTCCCAAACTGACACAATGGGAACCATGTACCTAAGCCTGCCACCTGACTTAGGGGACTTGCACGCTAGTTCAGGTGGCCATACCCTTTACCTGGCTTCCAATTCTCCTTGTAGGAGAAAAAACCCATCCCAAGGCTGAGAGGTAATTACTTGATTCTGTATAGAGTTCCCAACAGAGTTTTAAATAATATAAGACAGAGACTGTGCCAGAGCCAGTCAGCACACCAGTCAGGGAGCAGCTTGGATTTGAAAGATGTGTGTGTGTGTGTGTGTGTGTGTGTGTGTGTGTAACATACCCAAAAGATGTTTGTTTCTCTATAACTGAAAAGTAGAAACAAAAGCAAGCAGCCCCAGCTATTCTTTACTAAGAAGAGGAATGAAGTGACCAAGGTAACGCCTTCATGCTGACTCCATCTTGTGTCTGTTCAGGAACCTTTTCAGTTCCTTAACGCCGTGAACAGTCACATCCACAGCACACACAGGCACTACCTGTGAACCACTATGTTCCCTGCCAAGACACTTAAGTGGCAAGTGTCATTCTGTGGCTCCCAGGTAAAGAAAACCACACTGCCTGAGAAGGAAGAAGCCCAGACTATGAAAATCCACCCAAACCAGCCTCACCTTCCAGACACCACGGGAACCAGCTCCAGCCCTGCTCTGGCTATAAAACTGGAAGCCAATGGGTACACATAGCCGAAACTAAGGAATCCAACAAGGGACATGGAGATGGGGTCATGATCCCCCTTACTCTCTTTGGACTCCTGGTAATATTGGCCATAATGTTTCCTATGGGCCTAGTCCCAATGGCTGTATCTAAAAGTAATGGCTTTGTAAAAAAACAAAAATTACCTGATTTATGTATTGAGTTATTCCTAACTGCGTCCAAATAACAGTTGGCCCTTACAAATGATAGATTTGAGAGGGCCAGTCATCTCTGGTTCCATAGCTTGTTTGATTGGAATCCACACCTTACTCACAGGCCCATGGGCCCTTATATCCTCCTCCTATGGCTAATGATCCTGAGGAACTAGCACCTGCCCTCTCATAGAAATCAAAGATTTCTATTTGATTTCTATTCTTTACTAAGAAGAGGAATGAAGTGACCAAGGTAACGCCTTCATGCTGACTCCATCTTGTGTCTGTTCAGGAACCTTTTCAGTTCCTTAACCCCGTGAACAGTCACATCCACCTTGGCAGCATGTTCAGGGCTTTCCACGGCTCAGATGTAATAACCAAAATATCTGCTGGTTGTATAGTCAAAACAAATGTGACCATGTCCCCTGACCTACTCCTGACGATGATGTCACTGTGGTTTTGTCTTTAAAAATGCTGTACCCTGAGCTTCGGCACTGAGAGTTTATAAGAGGAAGGGCCTACTCTCAGTCAATTTAGTGACACTGTATTGACCTTACGAGCTTTCCTATCCAAAACATAAATCTCTAAGCCAAGGAATTTATGTCCCTATGACAACCCCGCCTGTGGCTAGCATCCTTGTTTGTAGAGGAAAAGAATGTACAAAATACCTGTTCTTGGCGCCCAATTTATAGACCCAGCACTAATTCAGAATTCCAATAAATATCACCAGGTGATGCGGAGAGAAACAGCTCAGTACCTTTCCAAGGATTATAGTGAGCAACAATAAAATATTCTAACAAGAAACTACTGATCTGCCAGACACCCTGTAGGGTAAAAGGGCCAGGAAAAACACCCTGACCCTGACTTGACCCCAAGACCAGGGCCAAGGACTTGAAATCCCACCAATCGCTGAGCTTGCCCCAGAATCAGGCCACAAAAAAAACACCAATTCCAAGCAACCCCAGAAAAGAAACCCTATATAATCTCTGCATTCTGTGGAGTTTGTTGTGTCTCATCTTAGAGACAGCCCCCCTGCTGGATTTTCCCCCTCCCAATAAATCTCTTGAGTGAGGTCTGTTGTGCAGTGTGACGCTGTCCCCAGAGCAGAGGCCAGCTATAACAGCTTTTGAGGGAGCTGTAGTGAAGATGAACTGTAAGACTTTTTCACTGGGGAAACTTTCCCCCAGCAGAGCAGAGCTCTAACGCTTGGCTGGACCTGGGCAGTGCTGTAAAACTCCACTGGCCAGAGCAGATGTGTTACACTTGCACTTGGGAAACCTTTCCCCTGAGCAGAGCTGCAGAGAGCTTATGATGATTTTGTAGCATTCCTTGGCTTCTGACAGCCAGGGTACCTTTCCATCTGAACTCCAATGCTCACATCCTCCCATCCACCAAAAAAAAAAAAAAAAAGATAATTTATAGAGCATAATGCTAGTTCAAGATTAAAACAAACCTGAGCAGATTCAGCCCTAAAAGACCCTCTGGTCAAAAAGATTACCACAATGGCCAGGGAAAGTTAGGGATTGCATAGTGATTTTGAATTCTCAGTCTAGTGGTGGGAAAAGAACTTAGATCCATATTACGCCATAAATAAAAATAACTTTTAGACGGAGTAAAAATATTTAAAGAGAACTGATCAGTACAATACAATTTTACAACAGCTGTGAGTCGAAGATGAAACTGTAAAGTCTCAAAAGAACAAACACGTTAGAGTATAATGTATAAAGAAATTACCCAAGGGCCACTGAAAGGGCTCAGACAGTAAAGGTACTTCCCACCAACCCTGATTACTCGAGTTTGATCCTCAAGCTCCCACAATAGAGAAAAACTGAAAAAGCTCACGGCGTTGAGCATTACTCACGATGCCTGTGAAAGTAAACACTGAGAATTAGAGCTATATGTATCTGGAGCTGTTCTGACACACTGCGAGGTGTGTGTTGGGGACAAAACAAAAAAGTCAGAGGCCCCATGAGTAGGGAAAGAGCACGGAACCGCAGCGATCGCGGTGACTACCGGCTGGAGGGTGAAGCTCAGAGAAAAAAGCTTGCAGGATGCAAGGTGAAATGGCTACTTTAAAGGTCAGTCTTTTCGGTTACACATCAAGGGTGCTCAAAAAGCGCACAGCTCCTCTCCTCCGGTGAAAAGCTTAAGCTCCTAGGTGACAAGCTCCTCGCGGCGTTCGAGCTGGGTAACCCCCAGCAGAAACTCAAGACTCAAGCGTCGGGCTCCTGGGAACCGGGCTCGCCCGCCTCCTACTTCCGCTTCCGTGGTCCCGTCGGTCCCAGGCTCCCTCCGCTTCCGCTCTTGCGCACCAGGCGGCTGCCTCGGTGGGCGGCATGGCGTCCTCTCGCTTGCCTCCCACGGCGCTGACGCTGAAGCAGGTACCCGGGGTTCTCCCGGCCCCGCAGGCCCCCGGCCCGCCTTGAGCGGGGACCGCGGTCGTCGCTCGGCTCGTGTGGGGTTGTCCCCTCGCTCGGCTCGCAGCCTCAGCATCCCGAGGGCGGGGGGTGGTTGGTGTGCGCTACCCAAGCGGACCGCCGGGATGGACTTCGATTCTGGTCTTGTTCTGTTTGAGGACCAAAGGGACGCCTGTGGTTACAGTTTGTGTGCTGAGGTGGAGCCGGCGGGGATTCAGTTGTAATTTGCATTTCTCCTTCCCCGAGCAGTTCATGAGAAGGCAACAAGTCCTCCTCCTCTACAGAAAGATTTTGCGAGCGATTAGGCAAGTTCCGAGCGATGCTGACCGGAAGTACCTTCAGGACTGGGCCAGGGAAGAATTCAAAAGAAACAAAAGTGCCACAGAAGAGGTGAGAGCGAGACCCTCCTGAGGCCGCCTCCTTTTGTCCTGTTGTGTTGTTGGACTTGTGAAGTTAGGGAACATCTTGGAATAAGCCACTAAGGTGGCTCGTTTTGATCACCGCTGAATCCCCCCTGGTATTTTAAATGTGTTGTGCAGCAGCAGCAGCAGCAGCTGGCTTTGCATGTGTAGCCTAGAGTCTGGCATGCACTTCCCACTATTGGTTTCTTGTTGGAGGTGCCTTTGTGTAGGGACTGAATGTAGAGCCTTGGGCATGGAAAGCTACCTCCTGTCACCAGCCGTTGTTGGTTCTTGAATGTAGCGGATAAAATGCTAGAACCGTGCTTGCCATGGTTAACCTGGTAAAAGCAGTGACTAGATTCCCCTTTCTTCTACAGGATACAATCCGTATGATGATTACTCAAGGCAATATGCAGCTAAAGGAATTAGAAAGGACATTGGCTTTAGCAAAATCTTAACTGAAAGGTTTTCAGATCTCCATGCGTTTTGCACAGGCTCAGAGCTACCGTCACAAAGCACCAGGGGCACATGGAAAGATGATCACACTAATCACGAATGCTCATCAAGGCGTTAATTTCCACTGCAGTGGCTGCGATTACAAAGTGAACTGATGTGAAGATGGAAGCTTGGAACCATGCATTGCGCAGGTGAAGGTAGACTATCAGCAGCCACTTTGGAAAACAGACTGTTAGTTCTTGAAAAGGTAACAAGATGGGGTTGTAACAAACGGGTCCACGGCCAAGAACCTGAGTTGGACCCCTGGGACCCACATGGTGGAAGGAGAAAACCACCACAGAAAGTTGCCCTCTGACCTCCACACAGGCAGTGTGGCACATAAACAAAAACCAAAAAAAAAGGTGACATAGAGTTACTTCAAACTTCAAGTGTTAGCTTTAACCAAGAGAACTGGAACTGAAGCCATGCCTATAGAAAGTGTATACAGCCGGGCGGTGGTGGCGCACGCCTTTAATCCCAGCACTCGGGAGGCAGAGCCGGGCGGATCTCTGTGAGTTCGAGGCCAGCCTGGGCTACCAAGTGAGTTCCAGGAGAGGCGCAAAGCTACACAGAGAAACCCTGTCTCAAAAAACAAAACAAAAAAAAAAAAAAAGAAAGTGTATACAGAGTTCAGCATTTTTTTGTTTTTGAGATAGGCCAGGCTGGCTTCAAACCCAGAGATCCACCTGCCTCTGCTTCTTGAGTGCTTGGATTAAAGGTGTGTGCCACCATGACTACATGAGCTCAGCATTCTTCATGATAACCAGATACTGGATTCAGAATATCCATTAACTGGTACTTGGGTATATCAAATGTAGTGTGTTGTACAATAAAATATTATTTGCAATAAAAATGAGTGAAGAACTGTCTCATGTTCCCCATGGGTGACCTTGATAACACTGTTAAGTTAGAGGAACTAACTATAAGGCCTCTGCTTCTGCTTGCAGTGGGTATTGCCTTAGGCTGTGGATAGGACAGAGCTGCTTGGAGGGACTTGGAGGATAACAGAGTTAGAGTGTGTCGGCTTTACAACTCTGAACATTCTAAGAATATACTGACGTCCATTTGAGTGAGAGAATGTGATCAAGTTCACAGACACCCTTAGTATAAAACTGGAGGATGCCTTGTAATTCACAGTGTACATTTCTCCACTTGCTACAGGAAACTCTAATGAAAATGTTTACAACAGACACAATTGTGTCCAAATTTTAAATCAGCTAGAGTCAGATCTGTAGATCTGCTTTGAAGGTAAGGTTTACAGTCCAGAGGAGATAAATGTTTTTGGTTAGAAACAAGAGAGCTTTGTACCTTTTTCAATAAACAGTTTTTAATGACAAGATACAGGGTATGTGTGGATTTTACTGTACCACCTTTAGACTGTAAAAGTATGGTATGTTGTGACCACTCTATCTCAAGCTATTAAAGAGATGAGATCACTGAAACACCAAAAAGAGGAGGGAAGACTGGGCAATTCCTCAGCTCCTGCACCCAACATCCTTATGGAACACTGAATCATCAAGAAAGATGCTTGATACACTGCACTTTCTTCAGAAATTGGGAAAAAGAAACACATCACAAAGTTGGCATCAGGACACTTGAGATAAAGTTTTTACACCATTTAGTGAAATACATGGAAGTGGAAGCTTGTTGAAGAGTCTGAAGTTATCCTGGAAGCAGAAGTCCATGTCCCATCAACTGAATACAGACGCCAGGTTGGGAACCTGACTAGTGTCCTGTGCTGGATGCCTGGAAAGGTGTTGCAGACTGTGCTTGCTTGACCTGTATTCCCCTACAGCACCACCTCCTGGAGCCTTAGGGTCCCATGCACAGTTCTGCATGAGAGTGATCTAATTCAGAATGTTTTCATAAGCCAAATTTGTTTGTTTTTCAAATACACCGCCTCTGCAAAAACACCTAAGAAGCATTTGTGAACAAGTTTTGAGTTTTTGTTTTGGAAACCAGGCCTCCTGTCCTAATCTTCCATCCTCCACCTTCCAAGTGCCAGGGTTGTAGATGTGAGCCACCATGCTTTCTATGAACAGTCTTGAAGGGAGAGGAATTTAAATATTCCCTTGTATTGCTGTGGGATGTCTTTCTGCATGCTGTGAATATGTGTGGCTCTCATTGGATAATAAATAAAGCTGTTTTGGCCTATGGCAAGAAAGCTTACAGCCAGGCGGCAAATCCAAGCAACGGTACAGAGAGAAGAAGGGCAAGGAGTCGAGAGATGTGAGCCAACGCCCAAAGAGCAACAAGATGCCAGCAGACTGGTAATGCCATGGCAACGTGGCAACGTGTAGATTAATAGGAATGGGTTAATTTAAGATGAAAGAGCTAGCTAGCAAGAAGCTGAAGCCATAGGCCATACAGTTTGCAATTAATTTAAGCTTCTGAGTGATAATCTTATAAGTAGCTGTGGGACCACAGGGCCAGGTGAGACCTAGAAACTTCCAACTACATTGTGTAGTCTGGTTGACATTCAGATTCAATTATAGACTCTGAGTAGGTCTAAGATCTTGGAACTAAACAATCATGAGATGTGGATGACGATGGTTAACTAGTGTATAGAGAATTCTTTAAAAGCACATACAGCTGTTAAGAGTCCAAAGGCAAGCTGGGGTTCAATTTTGTTTTTATTTTGGATTCTTTTTGGTTTTTTTGAGCTTACTATGTAGCTCTGGCTGGCCATGAACTCAGAGATCTTCCTGCCTCTGCCAAGTGCCAGGTGTGTGCTACCACACTCTGCCTAATTATTTTTATAACAGGTAAAACACTTAGGATGGGATTGCTTTCAATGGGAAAAGTTAATGCAAGACCCAGCTTTCCCTTCATCTCTGAGGGACAGTTCTACTTTGCTCACTTAGGCGCTTTGATTAGACCCTCTGGTTTAGAGGCCAAGTCTTGTTTGGCGTTTTTTGTTTTTTGTTTTTTTTTTAAATGATTTATTTTATGTGCATTGATGTTTTGCCTGCATGCATGTCTGTGAGGGTGTGGATCCCTTGGAGCTGTAGTTATAAGACAGTTGTGAGCTGCCATGTGGGTGCTGGGAATTGAACATGGGTCATGAGGAGGTTTGTTCAGCAATGTTTTCCTTGGGTACAGGACCACAGTGAAGATGTTGGCCAGCTGGAACTGCTGGTGAAGTTCTACTCATCATGAATCCAGTTTATCTGGACTCAGGATTGTACAACCTATTACTGTTTTGAGCGTATCCTGCAAAGTGATCTGTTTGAATGTCAAACTCAAACTTGTCCTAGAATTTAAGATGTTTTGATAACTGACTTTATGCATGTGAACCAACAACAATCCTGTTGTAAAAGCATACCTTTAATCCCAGCACTCAGGATGCAGAGGCAGACAGGCCTCTGAGTTCAAGGCCAGCCAGATCTGCATAGTTGAAACCCTGTCTCAAAAGAGAGAGAGATTAACAAATGGAAGGAAGATTTTACACAAAAGCTTTGTAACAGATAGGTGGCTAAGGCCAGTTTTTAACAGTTTGCCCTTTAAAAGGTGCCATCAGGCTGCACATTAACTCATGACACAGCATTGCTGTGGATATGCCAGAACAGTCTGCTGCCGGTGACTGAGGAAAGTGGAAGCTCGAACAGCAGTTACACTAAGTACTCTTGGGAGACACAAACCAGAATAACTAAGGAAAAGGCCATTCCAAACGGAAGCAGCCCACATCTGCCTTGGAAAAGGAAAGGATGATATAGAATCAGGCCCAAAGAGATTTTTAAAAAAAAGTCACTCTAACAAATCAGAAATCACAAGATTTTAAGAAATTATATTCACATTAAATTTAGATTTTTAGGGAGTTGGAGAGATGGCTCAACAGTTAAGAACATACTACTATTGAAGAGGACTAGAGTTGAGGTCCCAGTACCCACTTGGGGCAGCTCACAGCTGCCTGTTACTCCAGCTCCAGGGGATCCAGAGCCAAGGAGGCACTGTGCTCATGTTTCTTTCTTTCTCTCTCTCTCTCTCTCTCTCTCTCTCTCTCTCTCTCTCTCTCTCTCTCTCTCTCTCAGCTGCCTGTTACTCCAGCTCCAGGGGATCCAGAGCCAAGGAGGCACTGTGCTCATGTTTCTTTCTTTCTCTCTCTCTCTCTCACACACACACACACACACACACACACACACACACACACACACACACTCACACACACACACTCACACACACAATTAAAATAAGCTTTTTTCATCATTTTCCATTTTAGGCCTCACTTTGAAACATGACCTACACTTTATTCCTGTATTTTTTCAAGGTGTTATCTTGTCCTGTACCTTGTGGAGTTAATATGCTTGCATTAACAACATGAAAGGGTTTCCTATGGAAACAGATTGCACCCACTTAGTGTTGATGGAGACACCTGATGTTGACTTTCAACTAGATGCATTTGCTCTAAATGCGTACAGTGGCTGGATGCAGGCTCTCTTTTCGGGAGGTCTTGAGTGCAGACAGCAGAACAAATGGCTGTAAATAAGGAGGAGAGTACCAGCAGAACTGGAAACAATGTTTAATGCTTACAGAGAACCACAAGTTCAAGGTGACAAAAATATTAGACAACATGCCTTTCACAAAAAAAAAAAAAAAAAAAAAAAGGTCCGCATATGAAAACCCTGTGTTTTGGACTCTCCAAATCAAAGTGATGCTAGGGCTAACACATTCATCCATCACAGATATTTAGTATGCAGTATAATGAATGTGCTAACAGTTACTTGCTTTTAAAAAGGACATTAATGTACAACTTTACTGTTTTATGACATTTCCCCACAGCTGTTGACACTTTTTAGGCCTCACTTTGAAACATGACCTACACGAGTATGTGGTATAAACAGTTATTTGTGAAAGTGCAGCTGGGATATTGGCTTGTTTCAGCACATGGCACAAGGAGGAAATACACAACAGATCTGCAGTGTTTCCTAATGCGGAGGGACAGTTGCAACCAACCTAACATTGGTGTTACAAACAAAACAGGGTTGGCCATGGCGCTCACTCCTTTAACCCCAGAATTCAGGAGGCTTCGACAGGAAGATCGTGAGTTCAAGGCCAGTCTAGGGTACACAGTAAACCCCAAACAACAAACCAACCACCACTTAGGAAGTCAACCCTGTGTGTAAGGGGCTGGCTGGCCTTATTCAATAGCCTGGTCTGTATGCTTAATGCCTTGACAAAAATGTCCAATTCACAGTGATAAGCTGCCTGCTTCTGATGGGTAGGAGGTATATCATGGTCTAGACTTGATGTTCAATTACAGTTGATCTCTGCACTTCTCAACAAGGATATCTTGAGGTAATAAGAATTCTAATAGTGAAAACAACTCCTGCTTGGAGCATAACTCACTGCGCTCAGGATTTCATCTCTCACTTAGTATTAGGCTGTTCCTAATAATCTGGGGTATAACAGGGACGACCCTACAGGAGTGAGTGACATCTTGTTGCCAGTCGGGTCACAGCAGGGCTCAGGGGCAAGTGAGCTGAAGACAGGACCCCAGTGAAAGAGACTGGGAAAGGGTTGCACCTCCCAAGACACTGAGGACAGAGACAGGTCAGTCACAAGAAATAACGACTCACTGGATTCTGTATTCAAAATATCTGCCCTGTTACTTTTACACAAATGTCTATATCCTTGGACTGTCATTACAAGGAAAAACAAAACCTTGGCTTGACAAAGGGCTAAATGCATACTATTACTGAAAGATCATCACTTCTCTTTGGCTCAATGAACAGCATTTTAGTCACAAGTCATGGACAGTAGTTACTAGGTTCTTAGGCTTAGGGAAATAGACTCAATTTCTGTGCATACGTGGAGCATGTGGAGACTGATAAGATCCATGATCCAAAGGATTTCAAGAGAAATCCAAGGTCTTGGCTAATGTCTTCACTGCCTCAGTCTGGTACATTATATTCAGTATTCTGATGTCAAGTTAGTTATTTCCCTTGATGTTCTTCGGTGAGAGAAGTCAATTCAAAATTAAACTTCCGTGAAATTGCCTTAATTCTTTACAAAATACAGAACAAAGGTCTTGAATTCAGAAAGGCAGTCTAAAGTAACTGGCTGGAGTTGGTTCATGAATGTTTTTCCAGTAATCAGCTCAGTTATTTTGGCTAAAAACACAGTAATTGACCAGTGGTTTAAACTTTTCTCATTTGACAAACATTTCCAGTCAGCAATATTACTCCTTATTTACATGACCTTCAAAATTATTTTAAGACATACTGGACACTGAGATCCATAAAATGTATTTCCTCTCAAAATCTGATTTTCACCGAGTTAAAAGATGAGCATTTGAGAGTTACAAGGGAGAAAAAGGGCTTCCTGCAACTGAGTCCTGGCTCTGCTAGGACCGTCTAGGCACAGCAGGTGTGTTGATGTGGATGTGAATGACCACTTGCAGAGTTCCCAGAGAGTAATCTTTGCTTCGGACATACTTCAGATCACTGAATCTTAGACTTCGGCACGTACCTTCTCTTCTTGGTGTGGCTTGCCTTTTATGAACCTGGCCTGAAGTTCAGACTTAGGAGTGAGGCCTGCACCTCCTCAAGCTTCCTTCCCGGGATTCAGTGGGACTAGTGAAGTCCTTGTAACTTCAGAGCACAGAAGTGTGTGTCCACAACAGATTAGTGACTTTTTCAGAGGCAGTTCCACCTTGTGCCTGATCACCAGCTCCTGGGACACAGGGATTTGCTGTCCCCAAGCAGAAACCCCATTGCTTCACCTCGAGGTCCGGGTGTTACTTCTGCACCTTGGTCCGCAGCTTGGCGAGCTCCTCCTCCAGACTTCTGATGTGCTCCTTCAGTGTGGCCTCGTCTTGCTGGGCTTTCTGACTGGCCTGGCTTCGTGCTTCTTCAATTTTCCGTTCATACCATTTTTCCATCTGGGTGGAAACAGCCTCAAAAAAGTACTGGGTTAGCTCCAGGGCTTGCGAGGCATCTCGACTATCACTGCCTGCTGCTGACGGCTGCTGCCCACAGGGGCTGCTGGCTGTTGGCTGCTGGTCCCGATGCTTGGTCTGCCCGCTTCTCGCAGACTTCTTGGTTTGAGTGCCTTTGTTGACACAGGCGCCAGTCTGCGGCTCACACTTGGGAGCCCCAGTCAAGGGGCAGGAGGCTGCCTGGGCCTTGCCCTTCCTCAACCGGGGGCCTGTGCAGTCCGAGGGAAGCTGCTCCTGCTGCTGTCGTCTCTGGGCAGCAGTGGCCCTGACTGCCTTGTCCTTGGGCCTCACAGCCTGAGAGGAGCTGTTGGCAGCGGCCGCTGGCCCCGCAGCTACCGCTGGTTGGTCTACAGCTGTTTTCAAAGGAGAAACAAATGTCAGAGCATGTCCAGATTTAGCCATAGAACTGGGGTCTCACTCACTTGGGGGTCCTGGAGTCCTCAGAACCTCAGCATTCCTAGGCACCACCTACCCACCCACTGTTCTACCTTTCCGGGCACCACTCACCCGCTTCTCTGAGTTTTCCTTCACCTTTTTTTTCTCTCTCCCTCCCTCCCTCCCCCTCATCTCCAGGATTCTTATCTTAGTTTATCAGGCTCTCTTGGATTCTATGTTAGCCACAGAAATAACATACAGGCTAGATTTCTGGCCTTTCCTTAAGCCTGTCTTGTCTGCCTTAGACGTCTCTGGATCCTAAGGATGCCAAAATGTACAAAGTGTCTCAACACAGAAAGAGTACTGATCTATGAGGAGGAATATGCCCATACTCTTCATTTCTGGGACATAAGCCTGCATACCAATTTGTTTTTTGGACCTTTGCTTGTTTGAGACAGGGTCTCACTCTGTAGTCTTGAACTCATGGAGATCCACCTGCCTCTGCCTCCTAAATGCTGAGATTAAAGGAATCTACTACCACACACCACCAGCAACTCTTTTTGAGAGGGGGTGGTTTTAGGGTTAAGAGCAGAGTTGAGAGCAAGTTATGCAGCACTCCTAATCTACTCAACCCATGTTCCATTCACTATAGCAGTTTCATAGCTAGTCCTAGCATGAAATGTTGGCTCGAGATGTTTCTCAACATTGCTGGTACAAAGATAAAGCTATGGAGACAGATAGGGCTATATTAAGCACTCTGACCTATCAAAGTTCCCAGTAGGACCCAATTACCAAGCTCTAATGTCTTGTGTGTGTGTGTGTGTGTGTAGTTCTGTCTTGGAACTTGAAATGTAGACCAACCTGGCCTTGAACTCCCAGAGATCCACCTGCCTCTGCCTCCTGAGTGCTGGGATTATGGCTTGCCAGCATGTCCAACTAGAATCTAGACTTAAAAGCCATAACATAGAAGAGGGGCTGCTGGGGAAGAGGAAATGAATTAGCAGAAGTGGGGGTACCGGGGGCATTTGGGATGATGCGTGTGCATGTGTGGAAATATAATGAAACCATCATTTTGCACAATGGAAATATGCTAGTTTTAAAAATTATCAAGTGTACTTATTGAAGCTTAAGAGTCTTCATTTAAAGCATGTCTTATCACCTAGGGCAAGCTCTGGACACAGGCCACTGCTTCAGAAAGGTTGCAGGTTTAGGTAAAGGCAAAAGGCTCCTTGAGAAGGATCAAAGGGGGAAAGGCCTGCCCAGAAGAAAGCTGGTCCTTCATCACCCCTCATCCTCAGGATCCACTGACCCCCATTGTGCTCATTGGTTTTTGTGAATTTGACAAAGCTAGGGTCATCTGGGAAGAGGAACCTCAACTGAGAAAATGCCTCCATCAGATCGCCTATAGACAAGTCTGTGAAAGCGTTTTCTTCATCAATGGTTGATGTGTGAGAGCCTGCCCACCGTGGGTCCTCTTACCCCTGGGCAGGTGGTCCTGGGCTGTATAAGAAAGCAAGCTGAGCATCATTTCCTTCATGATCTCTGTCTCAAGGTTCCTGCCTTGAGTTCCTGCCCTGACTTCCCTCAGTGACGGAGTGTGACCTGGGCTGTTTAAGCCAAATAAAGTCCCCAGGCTGCTTTGGTCACACACCAGGACACATGTCAGTATCCCTTATCTTATTCCTCACTCTCACGTGTCTGGAAACTTCCTAACATTTGAACCTCACTGTCTGCTGCAGCTCTGGTGCATGCACAATGTTCAGATCAGGAAGGACAGGGAGTGGGTCTCTGTCTGACAGACGCTCTCTGCACATGGGTCACCTGGAGAGGAGTCACAAGGAGATGGTGTGGATTTAGCTCTACAGGTCCGAGACTCTCCAGAAAGCCTCAGCTCCAGATTCTGGATCTTCAACATACACCAGGCTTTTAATTCGTCCACCAAGGACATCTAAAATAACAAATAATACACAAAAGATTGGCTTCTGAATTAAAGCTTCAAGAATGAACTTTTGGGAGACTGGAGAGATGGCTCAGTGGTTAAGAGCAGACTGCTCTTCTAGAGAACCTGAGTTCTGTTCCCAGCACCCACATGTCAGTTCACAACCAGTTTACAGTCTTTAACTCCAGTCCCGGGGATCCCAGGGCACCAGGCACCCACAGGGTGAACAGACACAGATGCAGACAAAACACCCCCACACATAAATAAATAAAATAATCTTTAAACATTTTTCTTAAAAGATGTATTTTATGAGCTGGTAAGATGGCTCAGTGGTGAAGACACTTGCTGCCAGGTCTGAAGATCTCAGTTCGGCCCCCAGAACCCACACGGTAGGAGCAGAGAACTGACTTCCTCAAGCCGTCCTGAGCTCCACACATGGGCCTTGTCATGCCCATCTTCTCTTCCCTGCCCCCACCCCTTGATAAAAGTGTGTGTGTGTGTGTGTGAATGTATGCCACACGTGTGCATGTGCCACTGGAGAGGAGAAGAGTGAGGTACCCTGGAGCTGGAATTACAGGTGGTTGTGAACAAGCCAGTGTGGGTACTGGGTCCTCTGGAGAGCAGGACACACTTAACCACTAAGCCAACTCTCGAGTCCCCAAGAATGAGCTTTTATGACACTTGAGGTTACAAGTGTCATAACCATCGGAAGGTTAGCGATCATTCATCCTCGCGCTGGCTACCTACCACCAAACCAAGGCTGTGTGTGAGTCATCTACCACTCAAATGCCTACACGTCCTGCAAATCTTCCAAACCAGGTGGGTTCGGCTGCTCTCACAAACCCACAGGCCCTCATCCCATTCCTGCTGACCTGGAAAGGCAGTAGACTCCTGAAGAGGAAACTGATGACCAGCCAGATCACAGAACTGACTGGCAAAGACGGCCTTTCCAGCAGACTCAGCAAGAGCCTCCAACAGGACTACCTGCTCTTCGCTACTAACTTCACTGGGGCTACAAAACCCACAGGCTGCGGAACGCAAACGGTCTTCACACTCTCAGCCTCTTGGACCTGCTAGACCTGGACCAGCGCGGCAGACATGCACAACTCGGCAGCCAAGGCCTGGCTGACTGTTACCTGCTGCTTCTCTCCCTCCTGCTTCTCGGCGGCTGCATGCCGCTGCAGGCGATTCAGGCACTCTGTTCTCTCCGCCGACAGGCGCTCCACCATCAGTTTGTCCAAAACACACATCTAGGGTTCAAGGAGACAAACAGCATGCTGAAATGATCTAAGAATGGGCTCTGGCTTCTCCTCACGAGGAGCGTCCACACAACAGGCAACCGACGTCAACGGCTCCTTCCACGCTAGTTTCACAGTATGAAACGCTAGCTTTTCAGAATTCCTGCACATACTTCCTATAAGGTCACTTTTGTCCCTTATTCTCATCGTAAGTCCCGAGGGCTTAAGAGACCACGGGTTCACAGAAATACAGAACATAAGCAAATGTAGGCCCTGGAATGTAAGAGCCAAAGCTATCACAAGAACAACTATCTAGAAACCCCAGTGGATGCGCTCCCCATCGCTTCACTAAGGACCGTCAAAGCATGCATGGAAAAGGAACAGAGGCTATTTCAAAGATTGCTTAAGAGAACAAGTGACTGCCATCATTTAGTCAAAGACCTTTCTGGGGCCTTGTAACATTTCCTGGAGGGCCCCAGTTCCTATGCTAGACCAAGCTCACTGATCTGACAAGATCCAAAACAGAGAACAAAGCTAGAAGGAGCCACCCACAAGGACTCAGTGGTGAGCCATCCGGTGTTGGTGATACACACGGACTTTCACAGTGAGATTGTACCGGTTCCAGAAGGGGTGGGTGAGCCTCCTCTATTTATTTATTTGTTTGTTTGTTTGTTTGTTTGTTATGAACACAGAAGAGGGCACCAGCTCTCATCACAGATGGTTGTGAGGCACCATGTGGGTGCTGGGAATTGAACTCAGGACCTCTCGAAGAGCAGTCGGTGCTCTTGACCTCTGAGCCATCTCTCCAGCCCCCAGCCTCCTCTCTGTGTCTCTTGGGTTCCCATGTTTTTTTGTTTTTTTTTTTTTTGGGTTCCCATGTTTTTTTGGGGGGAAACTGCTTACTCTCCCTATTTCCAGGATGCCTTCTCCTCCTCGTCTGCTAGAGAGACATCCACACCCAAGAAGCAGGTGTGCAGGGCCTCTTGAAAAGTGAGCATTAGCCCAGGCACCTGACTTAACACTGTCAGCTCATGTCCTGTCCTTGACACTTGGAAAGAGGACTGACCTACCTGCCAATCTGCCATCCTCCCCACATTACCAGTCCTTTGAGGGTACAGACTGGCTAATACATCATGACCTGAAAAGTTTTCAAATAGTCTTTCCACAAAATGCAAGAGGTAAGTAAGTCAGAAAAAAATGTTCAGCCTCAGTGGGCAGGGTGGTACACCCTTTATCCCAGCACGCTGGAGGCAGAGACAGGAGGGCCTCTCGGAGTTCCAGGCCATCCTTGTCTACAGAGCAAGTTCTGGGCCAACCAGAGTTACACAGTGAGGTACTGTCTGAAAGAGGGAGAGAGAGAATGTGTGTTAGCTCAGCTTCACCAGAAAGAGAGAGACTTAGTTCAGCAATGTCCATTGAACACAAACTTGAAAAAATAAAATATTAAATGATGGCAAAAATGTGAGACAGAAACTCAGATACTGGTGGAATATAAATAGGTACCACCTTTCTAGCAGGTAACCTGCCAGCATTCATCAAGAGCCTGGAGCATTAATGTTGGACCAAATTATCCTAACGCTAAGCCCAAGTCTGAGAATGGGCCAGCAAGATGACTCAGTAGGTAAAGACATCTGCCACCAAGACTGAGAACCTGAATTCAGTCCCTGGGACTCACAGGGGAGGAGAGACAAACTCCCACTAGTCGTCCTCCGACCTACACACACACACACACACACACACACACACACACACACACACACACACACACACACACTGAATTAAATGTAAAAACATTTTAAAGTCTGAGAAGTAGCCAAAAAACACATATGCAAACTTTTATCTTAATATTATTCATAAGCGTAGGAGAAAAATCTGATAATAAGTGCTTAAGTAAATTATGTTGCATTACTAGACGAATGTTATGCAGCTAAAGACACGGGAAAGTGCTTGTGAGGTACAGAACTGAGGGAAAGGATTTGCAAATATCCTCCCACACAGCGCCCCACCGTGAGGCACACTGCAGGATGGAAAGCTGCCGGAAGGGTCCATGTGGATCCAGAGATCGTCATGGCGGGTCTGAGCACTAAAGAGAGCCTCCAAGGAGGAGGAAGCAAGCCTGAGGGGGTAGTGCTAGGAAGCACATTCCTTCAATGGGGAGCACTTCCCCCAGACATATGATTCTGTTTCCTTAAAGTGTGTCTTAGCGAAAAATCCTACTCGCTGCACATTCCCTGTTAGTGACAGGAAAGTGTACTTTCACAGCGGAAGAGAACAAGGGCCCACCTTAGCATCAGTGACCGTGAAGCACCCTGACACTGCCCCCATGGAGAGGGCAGTCTGGAGTTCACACTGCAAACCACGACTATGCCTGCAGAAGTATTTATTGGATCCTAAGTAACTGTGTTGAACCCTCGTCACAGACTTTAGCAGCAGCTCTTGGAGGTTTTGCTCCTCACAAGCTTGAGGGATCCACTCAGAATTCCAGTCATGGTGATTAAACTCAACTCGGTGAGTCAGGAATAGGCCCAAGAATTCAGCTCGCCAGCCTCCGCTGCTGCTGCCTAGGGACCACACTCTCGGGACCATGAACCGCGGCCTCAGACCTTTCTGTTGGTGGAAGTGCAGGGATGAAGACACAACTTAAACACCCACGAGGAAACTAGGGAAGAGATCCAGAAGGCAGTAGGCCCTGTAAGACAAGCGGCATGGATGCTCCGAAGAGACAGAAGGCTGGGAGGGGCTGGGAGCCACTCAGAGAGAGCACAGAACCCAGCAGCCAGGTGCACAAAGGATCCTACGCTAAGATTAAAACGAACAGCTGGGTGTGGCAGCATGCACCACCCATCCCAGCCACATGAGAAGTCTGAAGACAGCCTGGGCTACTTGAGACTTTGTCTCAAAGGGTTAAATAAATAAATAACCTATGAAAAACAACTAAATAAAATACTTCGGGACAACTGAGAAAGTCTGAACATGGACTGGATATGGTGCGATTATCGTTGATTCTCTTAGATGTGATGAATTTTGTGCTTATCCCTAGGGGCACACTGAGCTACTGAGAGGTAATATGGCGGGACGTGGTGACTCAGTCTCCCCCCAGTGTGAGAAGAGGGACCAGTCAGGCAGTAAGAGGGATTCAAAGCAGCAGACTAAGAACTGAAGCTGGATGTGGGGCCCATGTTTCCAACCCCAGCACTTGGAAGGGGATCAGAGTTCAAGACCAACCTGGGCCACAGAGTGTCACTTTGTCTTAAAACCAAAACGGGAAATCGGTTGACTCTCAGTGCGAGTATAAATGTATCTGCTATTTCATTATCCACTTCTCTCAACTTTTCCTGATAAAAAGCTGAACAAAGGAGCTGGTGGTGGACCTCACTCGGTGAGTGCCTGCTTAACACGCAGGAAGCCCTGGGTTCAGAACCCAGCATATGAGACCTGATGTGCAGACTGCAACCCCAGCCTTCGGGCAGGGGAGCTGGAAGGTCAGAAGTCTGCGGCCTCCTTAGCTACAAAGGGAGTCTGAGGCAAGCCTGGCTCCATGAAACCCAGTCTCAGAAGAACACAGATGAAGAAAATAAATTTGAATATCAATAGTTTTTCTTTTTTAATCACTACAGGCTTGTGGGTAATTTGCTTTCCTCACTAATATTGGTTTTTCTTTTCTCTTTCTTTAAAAAAAAGTGTTCTGTAATGGGAATGAACTGCCTGCCTGCCTGCCTGCCTGCCTGCCTTCCTTCCTTTTTTCCTTTTCATCTTGTTTGTTTGTTTTTGTTGTTGTTTTTATTTTTTGTTTTTAGAGACAGGCTTTCTCTTTGTAGCCCTGGCTGTCCTGGAACTCGCTCTGTAGACCAGCCTGGCCTGGAACTCAGAGATCCACCTGCCTTTGCCTCCCAAGTACTGGGATTAAAGGTGTGTACCACCACTGCCCAGATTCTCTCTCTCTCTCTCTCTCTCTCTCTCTCTCTCTCTCTCTCTCTCTCTCTCTCTCTCTCTCCCTCCCTCCCTCCCTCCCTCCCTCCCTCCTCCCCTCTCTCTGTCTCTTTCTGTCTCTCTCTCTGTCTCTGTCTGTCTGTGTCTCTTTCCTTCCTTCTTTCCTTCCTTCCTCTCTTTCCTCCTTCCTTTCTTTCTTCCTCTCTTTCTCTCTTTCTTTCTTCCCGGAGACAAAGTCTCACTACTGCCCAGACTGCCCTTGAATTTGTGATCCCCCTGACTCAGCCTCCTATGTGCTGGCATTAGAGGCATGTGCCAGTATGCTTGGCAGGAATACCTAGCTTTTATAACCCTAACTTTCTTCATAGGCCCCAGGCTGAGCCACACCACAAGCCCTAACATCTCTGAATCATCCTCTGCCTTCATCCCTGTCGTCAGGAGGCTGAGCACTGACTTACTTGGTGCTGGGTCTTGCTCTCCATCTGTCCCAGCTTTGTGTTCACTTTATCCTGCACCGATCCCAGCTCGGCTTTTATCTCCTCCACAGTCGCCTCCAACTGGTTCTCCAGCTTGTGGATTAGAGGTTCACAGCGACAACCCTTTATTGGTGCCTGGGGGAAATGAAAACGGAATCAGGGCCTGGAAAGATGGTTCAGTGAGCAAGAGCACTCACTGTGCAAGCCTGAGGAGCTGGGTTCAGATCTTAGCCCCCATGGAAAAATCCAGGCATGTACATCTGTAATCCCAGAGCTGTGGGGGCAGAGACAGGAGGATCCCTGGGACTTGCTGGCCTCCAGCTTCAGTGAAAGACCCTGTCTCAAAGGAATAAGATGTAAAGTGATAGAGCAGGGAACCCAGCACCTCCTCTGGCTTCTGCAAGTACACACACACAGGAGTGTGCACTCAAATACATACACACGATATATCTCACACACACACACACACACACACACACACACACACACACACACACAGAGGAGTGTGCACTCAAATACATACACACGATATATCACACACACAGGAGTGTGCACTCAAATACATACACACAATATCACACACAACACACAGGAGTGTGCACTCAAATACATACACACAATATCACACACACACACACAGGAGTGTGCACTCAAATACATACACACGATATATCTCACACACACACACACACACACACACACACACACACACACACACAGGGGCGGGGGGAAGAGGGAGAGAGAGACAGAGACAGAGAAACAGAGACAAAGAGATGAAGAGAGAGAGAGAGAGAGAGAGAGAGAGAGAGAGAGAGAGAGAGAGAGAGAGAGAGAGAAACAGAGAGGTAGACATTAGCAAATTAGCCCTTCTTTATTCGAAGATCATCTTGGGTAACCGCCACGTCACACAGGGGGAGACGGAAGACTAAGAGGACAAAATTCATCCCCAAGCTAGCTTTGGAATACCCCATTGATTGAGCTTCGGGTCCCAAGGCACGAAGATTCAGAGGGTGAGGCATAGTACCTATCTTAAAGAGGCTTGACCCTGCCCACAAGACAGAAGTCCCCTAAGGATGGTACGGAATGCTACGGGCAGTGACGTTTTCTGGGGCCTACATGGCATGGTACATCTGCACTGTCTGGATGGGGGCTTGTGGCTCACGTCTAAGTCAAGCCCTGAGTGGCCATCGACCTCCAGGCACAGACTTCAGCAGCTTGGCATCCGCAGGCCAACGCAACTATGTGGTACCTGCATCACTTTTCCGTCCTCGTCCCGGTACAGTGTGTAGAGCTGGTACGCCCTGAACCCATGGGGCGGAGGTGGGGACCAGCATCGATGTCTGCTCTTCTTTTTGGGGTGGTGATGACTGTGTGGGTTCCTTTGGTGTCCAGGCTGTTGGTCTGCTGCTGGGGTGGGGTCAGATAGTGCTGACGCCTGTGGGAAGGGAGAGCCACCACTCCTAAGTCCCTGCAGCCCCCACTGGAGTGATCCTGCCAGCATTTCCCATCCCATGCAATGCTACATGCTATAACCCTGTCTTGAAAAGAAAAACCAAAGACCCCCACCTTGCTTCTGAGCTCAGAGCAGCACACCCAGAAACACGTGCGCAGCCCCCTCTCCAGTGTCTAAAGCCGGTGGATTTCATACTTATGTTCATATGGCGTCCCACCTGGGTAAGTCACCACAGATCCTCCTCCAAGGCCACCCCAAATGTGCCCCCCTACCCGGCCCCTGCTTGCTCCTCACCTCTGGCCTTGACTTTCTCCTCCTGTCATTCTTTCTGGGCTCCTGGGAAGCTGATGGGCAATCTCTTCTAGCTTCCTCTTTTTGGGGGACAGCTTGCTCACTGCTGGGAGTGTCTCCTGCTGAGACACTTCCCTACAAAAGAAAAGCCCCCAAATTGTTCCACTTGAGCCTTTGGCCTCTGACCCCCGCTGGGTAAACTTGTGCTTACAAGACTCCATCCAATAGTGAAGCCATAGGGACATTACCCAGTGACCAAAGCTTTCTGCACGGTGGCCAGGCTCAGCAAGAGCCTCTGGATGGATGGATGGATGGATGGATGGATGGATGGATGGATGGATGGATGGATGGGTGGGCTTTTATCTGGATGAAATGAAGTGGGCTCTTGGGTGCATACTTCGGGGCTTAGATCAAAGGTGTGCAGCACCACGACCAGATTAGTAACAACATCTTGTGTGTCCAAAAAGGTCTCTACATCATAGTCCCCATCAAGGACTCTCAAAGAGCTGGGCACCTCACACATGTCTATAATCTCAGCAGAGGCAGGTGGATCGGATCTCTGGGAATTTAAGGCCAGCTTAGTCTAGCTAGCAAGTTCCAGACCAGGCAGGGCTACACAGTGAGACCTTGTCCCCTCAAAAAAAAACTGACAAGGAATACCGTATTGCTCACTGCACAATGGTACCTGCTGATGGGTGAATCGCCAAGTCAAGCTTGTATTCTATGTACTATGTAATCCTGGTGTGCCCGGTGCCATCCTTTTCTGACTTACACACAGAGGCCAGAAGAATAGCCTTGCTCCATTCTCTAGTTAGAAACCGAGGAAGCAGGCTGCCCTAGTGGGGCTTAGAATCACCTAGAGAGCTTGTTCAAACAGACAAGGTTGCCCCCACCCAGAGCTCTATTCCAGCAGGTCCAAGCTGAGTCCTGGGAATCTGCATTACTAACAAGGCCCCAGGCCACAACATGGACACCCCAGCTGCAGAACCAAAGCTCTGCACAATTCAGGGCATAGTACAGTGTGTCCACTATGGGACAAAGGGCACAGACACCCAGGCACACAGGGAGGCTGAAGGCCACTCTCACCCACACATACACACAAGGACACAGGATCTGGAACTATGGACAGACAGGGACATAAGGAAGGGGCAGCGGCCTGCACCCAGTGGGAGGGACAGGCCAAGGAGGGCAGCAGCGGGGCTAGGCAAGCGGGCAGCTGAGGTCTGCGGGAGGCCCCATACCTTGCTCTGTGCCACCTCATCTCTGGGCACAGACTGGGCCCTCCTCTCTTCCTTGAGCCTCTCTCTTTTTTTCCTCAGGCTTCGCCCACGACTAAAGCGCAAGATCTAAAAGAGACAGACACCATCATTGTAGGGGTGAAGGGACACGGCATCAACACGTGGCAGAGTGCCCTGGGCGTGACTCTCTGGCCTCACAGGACCCACAGCCTGGTGGGAAACACTAGGAGCCACAGAAAACTCTGGACTTCCTATACCCCCTTAGTCTTGTGCGGAGCACAGAAATGGGTAGAATATTGTCTCTGATCACAAGAAACTTCTATGATGATAATAGACATTTATGTGCTAGGCTGGCACGGCCAGATAGGTGTGCATAGCCTAACTCCAGAGAAAGCCACTTACGTAAAAACCAGGATAGGGCCGGGCGGTGGTGGCGCACGCCTTTAATCCCAGCACTCGGGAGGCAGAGGCAGGCGGATCTCTGTGAGTTCGAGGCCAGCCTGGTCTACAGCGCGAGATCCAGGAAAGGCGCAAAGCTACACAGAGAAACCCTGTCTCGAAAAACCAAAAAAAAAAAAACCAGGATAGGAATGGCATGTCAGGAGGCAGCCCTGCTCCAGACAGTCTGGTTTTCTGCTGCAGGTCCCAGGAATATATCATAAGAACTCAGCTGGTTATGGCAAAGTCACTACCTGGAGGAATCAGGGAATTCCTCCAGAGGAAGCCAAATCCCAAGGAGTTTTTGGTGTTACTTGGCTTGTTATATATCAGCCGTATTCTGTTATGAAAGTCATGTGTGCCTTCATAGTTTTCCCGACTGTCTTTTCCCTAAGAAGGGCTAACAGTGTGGACTGATCACTCTCTGGACATACACATTCAAGGTATTTGGAGAACAGCCTCAGGAAAGGCTTTCTCTGGAATCAGATATCTCCCTTGGCCACTTTCAAGGACTAGCAGTAATAAGAGTCCACATGCAAGTCTCCTGATTTAAGGTAAATTCCACAAGGAGACACCACCCAGGTCAGGTGGACGTTAAGTAATAGCTTTACACAATTCAGCTCGGACCCTCCTTTCTTACAGCCTTACTAACGTTATAGACTGCTAACTCCTTACCTAACCACTTCTATGAATATTTAGATAACCTTCTGCGCTGACAGCTATGCTCAGCCCAAACCCCAGTTCAAGCCTCCCTGTAATTATCATCATTGGCAGCATCCAGCCAGGTCTATCCCCAGATGGAGGAAAGTACCTTATCAGAGATACCTCCGTACTTTCTAAGAACAGACTTAAGCATCCAGGCTACCCATTTAAGAAGGCCTGGCGGTGGGGGCTGGAGAGATGGCTCAGAGGTTAAGAGCACTGACTGCTCTTCCAGAGGTCCTGAGTTCAATTCCCAGCAACCACATGGTGGCTCGCAACCATCTGTAATAAGATCTGGTGCCCTCTTCTGGCCTGCAGTCATACATGCTGTATACATAATAAATAAATAAATCTTTTTTAAAAAAAAAAAAAAAAGAAGAAGAAGGCCTGGCGGATATGCCAATTAAGCTTTACTTCCTCCTTTCCCAAACCTTACCTCTGGTTCCAGATCTCCCTTTAACTATCACCAGAGGCATCTAGCTGTACACAGGTTGCCTAGCGACTGAGCACACTTTCCCCCACCCTGTAGAAAAATGGCAGATAGCTTGGACAGATAGGAGCCACAGGAAAAAAGAAGACAGTTTTATTTTCTCCCATTGACCTAGCAACATATAGATTCTTAACATTTTCTACTAATTACGTTTAAGACTATAGTTGAGCACATAAGAGCCCTCTTCTTAGATATTACCCAAATTTAGCCTTTAGTTAATTCATTTCCCCATTGGTCACTTCCCTTTGGGGTTGCAAATGATAATTAACGGTTATTGCCTCCCTATGTGATTCTTATCACCCCTCCGTTTGACCCTGGAAGCCTGGCTTTATATACCAGCACTTCCAGGGCACGGAGAGTCAGAGAAGAGAAAAGAGAATGGAAGAACTAGACGGGTAAGAACTTGAGAGGAGCAAACTGAGATGGGGAAGAATTTGATTATAGGGCTAGAAGAGAGTACCAGAGGAACGAGATGGAAGATGAGGAAGAGTCAGATGGGGAAGTACTAGCTGGGTAAGAACAAGGTGAAAAGGACCTAGATGAGGCAGAGTTAAGACGAGAGAATTAAGATAGAACTTAGAGGAAGCAGTAGATAAATATAGAGAGAAATCAGGCAAGAAAGGAGCTAGGCACGAGAACAGAACTGAAGCTGTGTATAAAGGATGTTACGCCAGAGGAATTAAAGCAAGTGGACTATAGAGCTCGGTGTGCTGAGATTCTATTTCCCGAAAATAGTCCTCGCCGTTAGTAGTTCTCTCTCCTGAGCCCCTGGGATGTACAATAGTAAGGCTGGTCCCTCTAATATTATACAAGAGTTTTCCACCTTGCAGTTCCCTTGACCAAAGTGTGTGCAAAAAACCCGTCAGTTTAATTCTGACGTCACTGAGGTGTATCTGTCAGCTGTCAGACTAACTGGCTCCCCGAAGGAGGACTGGTACCTGCCCCTAACAATGCGTAAAGCAGGAGGAACCAACAAGGGCATGGGACAGTGAGGTTGGGGGACCCAGCAGCCACGGGACAAGGCGTTTTAGCACATGGTTTTGGATGCTCGGGACTCCTCATCAAATGGAAGGATGGGGAGCTGCTGGGGTCAGCCGGAACAGGAGATGGCTGTACCTGCCGTCACTGCCTGTCCTTAGCCACTGCACACAGATCAGAGGCACCAAGAACCTTCAACCTCTGGCCCACGGTATGCAAGAATATAAAAGTCTCAGAGCCAGCTGGTGACAGTTCAGACTCGGTGGTAAGTCTGACCAAGTGACCGGTGCTGACTGCTCACCTTGTGTGGAATCTTACGTCGGCACAGCTGACCTCAAGCCTGAAATTCTTCACATTTGTGAACCACAGTTGTCATATATGACAAGTGACACAAAGCGGCGGCAGCAAGTGTCCTCCCCTGACTGAAGAGAACTGCAAGACCCACAGTCTTTCTCAGTGTAACGTGGGCCAAACAGAACATCGGCAGCGCTTTCCAGACTACAGGAATCTGTGAACATTGGCCCAGAGGCCTCTTATCAGTACTGCTGTGGCCACCATACTTAACTAAAGGCTTCAACAAAAGGATTTTTCTTTACAGACAAAGAAGGTTGTGTGTGAAACGACAGGCAACAAAACAATATGCAAAGAACGTTTTATATCATGTATGAGCCCCATAGGCATGCCGTGCCCACAGGGGCCAGAAGAGGGCACTGGATCCTGGGAACTGGAGTTACAGATGGCTGTAAGCCACCATGTGGGTGCTGGGAACTGGACCCGGTCTTCTGCTCTCAGCTCCCAAACTATCTCTCCAGCCCCCTAAGCCATGCTTCAACAGAAATGCAAAGGAGACCAGTTCAGGAAGACAGCGAAGTGAAGATCCTTGAGGTCTGCAAGACAGCGGACAGGTGGACTAAAAACACAACGCTCTCTGTGTGCCTGGTGAATTCTGCAACCCACAAGACCTGCTGCCCTGTATGCGTGTGACTGGGGATAGGGCTGAGTGGGTATCAAATTGCCAGATGTTGAAACTGAAACTCCTGACATTCTCTACTTTCTAACTGTGACAGACCAGCATTTTTCTATATTTCACAAAGCTGGAATGGGGTCCTAGGACCCTGACTAGGGGCAACAAAGGAATGAAGAACACACAGGCACACAGACACATGGACACACAGACAAAGCAAAGCTGAGATCAGCTTGGCTGTGCTCACTCTAATGGAGTGGCTGCAACACCCTAGAAGCTCGGCCTGTTCATTATATACAGTTGAACAGGGAGGTGGGCAGGGTTTATGTTATCCAACTGGACAAGATGGCAGGTTTAGCTAATCTGAGTATGCGCAGTCCCTGTAGGGGACAGTCTTCAGATTGTAAATATCTGTGGGGGAAAAGCTTTGGTGGACAGTTTTTGCATACACTTTCAACATCCACTCATGGACCAGGAGGGTTTTGAGTCCCTCCATTCTCAGCTTTGGGGGCTCATTGGCTTTGCCATCCTTCCAACATCACCTCGGGAAGGCTCTGCTGCTTCCACAGCTCTGAGGCATCGGGGTCCTTGACACAGCCATTCTTATGTCAACAACACACATTCCCTCAGGATTTCACATGCTCCCTACAGCGGGGCATTACACTTCTAGCAGCTTCTCACACCTGCTGCCCACATCAGCGGGCATGGATGTCCAGACACCACTGAGTAGCACCAGCTTCATGTGCAAGAGGGTGGTCCCTCTTATAAAAGAGAAGAATTGTCAACAGCCTGGAAACTGCTGCCGGGCATATGAGCATGTCTTTAAAATTAAGTGAAATGAGGGTCTTGTGATATGCTGGGCCCAAGTACTAGCAGGATGGTTCTCAGAAGAGTCTTTGCGCTCCCTGAGCCTCAATAAGCCGGACAAATCAGCGTTCCCAGCCTTGCTCTGGACTAGCCTGCCTTCCCAACACTAGGGAAGTGATTGCTTCCACTGGAATGAGTAATGGTGAGCACTACAGAACACCGTCCTCTCTTAGCTATGGCATGAGACAGAATGGAAAGGGGAGGCCCAATTATAGAGAAACTGACTGTGGGCGATGTAAGTATGAAGGGAGAAAAGTTGTGATTTCAGGGTGCCAGAATTCAAATCCCTTATGGTTACCTAATGTCAACCTCAGTTAATGACATCAGCCATCATTTCAGAGCAAAGACAAAAGTACCCAGATTCAATTAAAAAGGGGAGAATCTATCTGTACCTCATTGCCCCTGGTGGCTATTTACTGTTCTAGCTGGACAGGATGGTCCCCTGACCTACATTTCTGGGAAATGCCCCCTCATTTCTCCAAGGCCTTTGTCCCATGTGTTGCAGGAGGCACCAGCCCAACCTCCAGCCACAGCCTTCTCCTACAGTGTTTTAAACTGGAACTTCTTCCCTCGCTGGGCAGCTGAGAAGGTAGCTCCAGGAAGCTCGTGGTAGCAAGATCACACCACAGCGAGAGAATGGCACTCTGGGTAACAAGCAGGGCTTGGCGCCACATAGACACACTGCCCTGCTTCTTAGCCCATCAATTCTTATTCATTTTCACCTGGCTTCAACAGATCACAGCCAGAGGCATCCCAGCGACTGTGTAGCCCCACATGATCAGGAAGATGCTGTAACTCCTACCTGGGGAGCCTTGGTGAGGAGCAGAGCAACTTCAGGATTATTGTGGTAGCGGGCAGTCTCCAGCGGGGTCTGGCCTGCCTGAGGAAAGATGCAGGGAAGACAGGTGAGAAAGGGCCCCCAGGAGTGGGCAGTTCCACTCTCCATCACACTCGGCCTCAGCTCCGCAGTGGCGTATATCAGCAATGCTCATTAAAGCCTCTTAGCCTCAGAGAGCAGGACATGTCTGTTGAGCGACACAGGGGATCAGAAAATCCACCTATCGGCACAAATTCTCCCACAGGTGCGGTCTCAGCACAGAGCTACAGCCGCGATGCAGGTTGTAAGACTAAACGCCAGCAGTGGCTGTCAGTGGGATTCCAAAGGAGAGTGTGTCCTGGTCACCATGCACAAGGTAGGTAACTACAGCACCAGGCCAGTTCAGAGCTATATCGGAGGAGGAGGGTGGTGTGGGGGCAGGGTGAGCTAGCCACAGAGATAATCCTAGCTTCAGGGCCCCAGAGCCTTGGAGGAAGAAGGGTGCCGGCGAGGGGACCTACAGAAATGATCAGACATACTGAGAAAGGGAGGGTGGGAGGGCAGAGTCCTGGAGGGAAAGACAGTGAGTTCTGAGCTGGATTCACACTGGCCAGGAGGCCATCTTGAGGCCGGCATGCCAGCTTGTGGAGAACCCCTCAGAACTCTCTTCTTGCCAGGCTGTGCTCACCCCAGCCCAGTGTCTCAAAGTGTTAAGTCCCAGGGCTGCTCAGAGCCAGCCCAATCCAGATGAGGGTCCCAGCGCCTGTGGAGGGTGACGCTCACTGAGTCTCCAGGGGCCGGGAGTCTGTGAAACTCACTGCTGCGGTTCAACTTACATTGTTCACAAAGGTGGTGTCAGCGCCGGCTTCCAGCAGGATTTTAACTACCTTCTTGTGATTTAGGGCAGCAGCCACGTGGAGGGCTGTGTCTCCAGCCTGAAAGCGACCAGAAGATAGCTTACTAAACTCACGTATTTGTTCCTGGTAGCTATGCATCTCTGCCTGGGGCCCTAAACAGAATTTACCCCACAAACATGAAGCTCACTGTAAAAGCCTTGACGAGACCCCAAAGCTGAGTGGTCAATGCATTCATTCATAAATGGAGTCCAGAAGCTACAGGCCAGGGCCACATATGTAGAGGTAAAGAGGACCAATTGGGTTGCTGAGAATGGAGGGCCTCTGAGCCTCTGGGAGGCAGGCTGAGGGGCTAAGAGCATGTTACCCAGAGCTCTGGACCCTGTGTATCAGCCCAGGGAGGTCAGAGTTAGCACTTGGCTTCTGAGCTGGGACTGAGGAAAAGCTGAGGAGGATTTATGCCTGGCCTTCAGCCAGCTGCATGGACCAGGCAGCCTGGGCCTGTTCATCCGCAGGCTCAGGTGGGTCACCAAGGCCTGGGCTTTGGTTAAGGCTGACTGTTTTCTACACTTCCCCTTCCAGCCTCTAAGTTTTCATATTCTCTTTATACAAAGTATTCCCGGATGATGAGCCCTGAAATGAAGCCAGTTCCCAAAGGCGGGCTGTCATTTCCACAGGGAAGGACAGATGTGGGCCAGACAGACCCAGGAGAACTGAGAGTCATGCTCCCCTGCCGGAGCAGACAGAGCCTCAGTGTGCATTCACGGGCAGTGTGAAAATCCAGCCATCTCTGAGGAGAGGCCAAGGCCTATTTCACCCACATCACCAGTCGTGTGTGTCGGGGAAATGACTCCGCATCTTCAGAAGTGCTGAGGCCAGGGTCCCACTCCTGGACTGCACTTCCCTCGGGTATAGTGTGGGTTGGATGGGGGGATTTCTGAGGGTGGGGTTGAGATGGGAGGTTTTTTTGTTGTCTGTTTTTTAAGTTCCAGGGTGACTGTCACATGCTGCTAAGGCTGGTGGGTGGGGACTGAAAGGTGGGTAACCTCTGACCTGGAAGCTAGTGGGGAGTGACTTGTGACCAGTTAATGGTTCTTAACCTGGCACACCTTCAGGAGGGAGATGTACAAAAGTATTCTGCTGAACCCAAAGCACGGAGATTTGGGCTCCTTAACATGGGGTGGGACCCAGGGCGGCGTCATAACGTCCCTGACGGCTCTCATAAGCCGCCAGAGAGGCTCGAAGCCACTGTTATAGGTATGTTTAATTTGTCCCACAATCTAGTTTTAATTCCAGGTTTATGCACCCCTCAAAGGCAAATAGAAACAGGGGCCTCAGCAGCTCACACAGAAGGGGCAGTGCAGGGAACGGAAGAGCAGAACTCATGAGACGCCCCGTTCCCTCGCTCCCCTTCCACACCACACTCCTTTTTCTAGGTTTTTTTCTTGATACCATCACAGTATAAGCACAAGTCACAGGCAGATCTCCCAGAAATGTTCAGTATGTAACTGTGGTCATCCGCCCAGGAATGGATGGGTACATGTCCAAGGATGGAGGCAGCCAGGTAAGCCAGGGCCATTGCAACCGTGAGATCTCCATACAGAAAAGTGCTAGTGGACAAGTCCCAGACAAGCCAGAGGGCAACACCTCCCAGCAGCCTCTACCCTGTCTGTACCTCATGGCCATGAAGAGGGCACGTGAACTGACCTGGTTCTTTTCATGAACAGAGCAGAAAGCGCTGAGGAGCAGTTTAATGATGGACAGGTGATTATACCGCGCAGCCACGTGCAAACAGGTGTCCCCTGCCTGTGGACCAAAATCAAAGTCTCAGCACAGTCAGCAGTGACAAAACCTAACACAACAGGAAAGCGCATCACTTCAGAGCTGGCAGACAACTGCCTACGCTGTAGGGAGTCTCAGCCTGAACTATAAGCCACCCCTTCAACACAGCTGCTCCAGTCCCAAGAACCTTTGCTTTGCTTTTGTGTATATAAACTAGATACCTGCTCCCATGAGCACTTTGGAAAAGCTAATGTGGGCGATAGGCTCCACGGACCCCGGCCTCCCTACAGTGTCTGGAATAAACGAAGTTAGACCAACAGTGTTGTTTTGGAATGTTTCCCAGCGGAGACCTAGCACAGCCGGAAGGATGCTAACATCCTCTATGAGCAAGACAGCCTAGGGAGCTGATAAATCAGAAAATCTCAGACTCCTTCTCTGTGGGCAAGGCCAGACCCCACTGCCTGTGACAACACAGAGACAGACTGCCACGATGCTCTGTAGGCCCCTGCTGCTGGTTTCCGTCTGTCTAGACGGTCATGGCCACTCAGCACAGTGAATTCTAGAACTATAGTATACAAGTCCGCTCTAAACAGGGAGATACTGGCAGTTTCTGAGACAAGCTTAAGCGGCAGACTCTCCTCAGAAAACCCAGGAGGTAGGATGCTCTCAAGCCCTTTTAGTGACATTCATCTACAACCACTGCCCTGCCTGCTCATGGGGAGCACACTGCAGTTAGCAGCAGCTGCCCTTGGAAGAGGCTAGGTCCTGAGTGTCACAGGATAGCCCTGCCTGGTACTGTCCCAGACAGCCACAGTGCAAAGCTCTACCTGGGGAGGTGTCCTTTAAGCAGTTAGGGCAGGGGTTCTCAACCTTCCCAATGCAGTGACCCTTTAATACAGTTTGTCATGTTGTGGGGACCCCCCCACATGCACCATAAAATTATTTCATTGCTACTTTAGAACTGCAATTTTGCTACTGTTATGAATCATAATGTAAATATGTTTGGAGACAGAGGTTTGTCAAAGGGGTTGCGGCCCACAGGTTGAGGACTGCTGATATACAAGCCTTCTAGTCCTGACAGACACACAGAGAAGAAATGATAAAGTAAACTTGAGACACAAATGGAGGAAGCAGCATTTTCCCCTAAATGGTCCCTTAGAAAATTGGCAAAAAAATTCATTTAAAGATTAGGCCCCTGCCGGGTGGTGGTGGTGCACGCCTTTAATCCCAGCACTCGGAAGGCAGAGGCAGGCGGATCTCTGTGAGTTCGAGGCCAGCCTGGTCTACAGAGCGAGATCCAGGAAAGGCGCAAAGCTACACAGAGAAACCCTGTCTTGAAAAACCAAATAAATAAATAAATAAATAAATAAATAAATAAAATAAAGATTAGGCCCCAAGCACACGGGCACGTTAGTGTCTAGATATTAACACTGACTCTGCTTAGCGTTCTTTCCCAGGGTAATACAACAGAGAGCACCCGTGAGAATCTGGTACTTTCACCCACGTTATTTTTGAGGTCAGCCCGGGAGCCACCCAGCAGGAGGACGCGTGTGCTCTGGGAGCGGCTGTTCTGGCAGGCCAGGTGGAGAGCTGTGTTCCCTGCCTGGGAGAGAGGAGGAGAGAAGGGGGAACAAGTTAGCAGCAGATACCTGCACAGCCCTGCCCTGCACACGGAGATTCTCACTCAGGGAGAATCCAGCCATTGTCACATTCTGCATCATGACAGAGATCCCAGCTGGTGTTTCAGATACAAGAACTGTGAATGTAGAGTCCAAACAGGCTGTAGAGTCCCCTCTGTCCCTAAACGTTGGCTCTGAGCCCTGCCTCTGCCTGTCGTGAATTAAAGACATTCATAAAAGCACTTCCCACGCTTAGGTTGACTGCTCGACCAGAAATGGAGCTTAAGCCCTCCTTCCTGAGGCCCTGAGCATGAGTACTCATTGGTCCTTGTATTTCCTGGACCACGAGCATGTGTGCAGCTCTGAACCCCGGTTCAGAGATGACTCTGTCCAGTCGCCAGCAGCTGGGCTCTGATACTTCTGGGAAGTGGCGGGGCTAACATGTGACTTGTAGGCCTGTTTTGAGATGCCTGTTCTTCAACTTTTTAAAACATAAACACCTGAACTATGGAAAAATGTTGACCTAAGGGGCAATACCACTGCTTACCATATTTAAACACCACCTCAGAAAAATGTCCACAATAATTTTGCAAATGCCACAGTGTGAACAGAACTCTGATTCTAGGGGAACAGGGGTCCTACCAGCTGCTGATTACCCCCAGAAAAGCATTTTCTCATCCCTTCATGGGAAAAGCAGGCAAGGTATTCTGAGCACACGCTGGTCAAATGCAGGCTTGGGGCTTTATTCTGCTGACCTTGCGAGCTGCGGTCTCACCTGCCCACAGCTTGGGGCATCCCCTCCCCTCCCCTCCCCTCCCCTCCTCCAGACCTCACGTGTCTACAGAAACTCCAGGTATTCTATTCTTTTTGAAAAAGAAGACTACAGCACTGAAGTAAATAAGCAAATAAATCAAAACTGTGTATCATCAGTGCACTTACTACTCATAACCATGGCTCTAATCAGCCTTGTGGGCATTACCACTAGGGATAGGGAAGGCAAACCAGTGGCCTGATGTCTCTACCCTGCCTGTCACCCTACTCCACACCACAAGCACCGGGATGGGGATACTTTCAAGGTCCTGGGTGCAGGGCTGTGGCCCTGTTCTGGACTCTCATTTCCTCAGCCTGAGGGGTGAAGCCTGACCTAGCAGCTGAGATCTCACATCCTGAGAAATCTCTCTGATAATCAAGTCTGGCTTAGAGTTGGCTTTGTTTTTTTGTTTTGTTTTGTTTTGTTTGTTTGTTTTGGCTTTTTTTTTTGAGGTTTTAATTTCCAGGCTGAGAACATGGCAAACTTAGCTCTCCACAGCAAAGCATCTACTTATGTCTTAAATACTCTTGATCTCTGACTTCAAGGCAGTGGTTAAATATATGCTGAAAAAAAAATGAGTGAAATAAAAGAAATCCAATGGTTCTAGAAATATAGCACACCAAAGTTTACTTTGTCACTAAGAAATATCAATTATGTAGGAAATTACTTTGATCAAGAAAAGTAAACATTGGGCTAGAGAGATGGCCCACAAATTAAGAGCACTTGCTGCCCTTACAGAGGACCCAGGTTCAATTCCCAGCACCCGCAGGCAGCTCACAACCATCAATAAATCTATTCAGTTCCAGGGGATCCAATGCTCTGCAGGTACCAGGCACACATGTGATGCACATATATACATGCAGGCAAAACACTCATACACATAAAATAAAATGAATAGGGAGGGAGGGAGGGAGGGAGGGAGAGAGCGCGCACCATAGTCTGGGTTAACAACATGCAGCACATCCACACAGTAGTACAGTACTATTCATCCATAGAAAGGATTGAACTAGCAACAAGTGTAACAACATGGGGGAGTCTCAAACACTCAGGGAAACAAGGCTTATTTCTGAAAAGGCGACACAGGTGTGGTTGCTATGGGCTTGGTGGGGTTGACTGGGGGACTGCCACCAAAGGGTACAAAAGAACTTTTCTGAAGTGACGGAACATTCTATGTTGGCGCTGGCAATTATACAACCACATACACTTGTCTGAACTCATGAGACACGATTCATTCCTAAAAAACAGATTTTATGAAAACCTCACCTTCAAACCTGCCATTAAACTGTGGCCTACGGTAGATGCATGATCAGCACCCCAAATGATGGGTACTGTCTCTCCAATGTGATGCTGTTTTTGCTAAATAAGAAGCACTTTCTAGAAGATCCCTCAGAAGCTGTCTGCAGAATGTAAACATCCCTTGTTGGGAGGACACGAATCCCCTTATTGGTATTTCTGAATCTTTCTCCACTTGGTCCTAAGAAAGAACTAGTGACTTTCCACAATCCTCTTGAAGCCCCACATGGAAAGGAGGCAGTGTGGTGCAGCAGACAGACCTGGGCTGGTTTATGGCCCTAAAGGTGTCACAAGCAACACATGTGTCTAAACCAAGGACTCTACTAGTTCTACTAGCTCCTGGCTCAAACTTACTTGTTCACAAACCAAGACAACCTGCTTCTCAGTTGGCTTAAAAAGAGAATCCAGACTATGTACCATCCTGAAGGAATGGAACAGCCCCACTCGAGAGGACAAGCATTGTTGATTACGTGCTGCCTGCAGGGGGGGGGGTCCCACAGGCTTCTGCCCATGAAGAAACCACAAGAAATGTGACCACAGCCAAGCACTTGGCCAAGAGAAGGAGGAAGGATTATAAGAGCAAGGGAGGGGGTCAGAATCATGATGAGAAAAACCACAGAAATAGCTGACCCAAGCTAATGGAGCTCACGGACACTGGACTGACAGCTGGGGAGCCTGCATGGGACTGAACTAGGCCCTCTGAATGTGGGTGAAAGTTGCATGGCTTGATGTGTTTGTGGGGACCGGGACTTACCCCAGGTACACAAACTGGCTTTTTATTTTTTTGGTTTTTCGAGACAGAGTTTCTCTGTGTAGCTTTGCACCTTTCCCGAAACTCACTCTGTAGCCCAGGCTGGCCTTGAACTCACAGAGATCCGCCTGCCTCTGCCTCCCAAGTGCTTTACCTATTGCCATCATAGATACATGTCAGGATGAAGTTTCCCTAGCATACTCCGCTGCTTTAAGAACCGAAACCTGGGATGGTAGCTACTGTACAAATAGGAAAGAATGTCTTTTCCTTTTAGGTGACACCAGGGATTGACCTGGGGACCTTGTGCATGAGAGGCAAGTGTTCTACCCCTGAGCTGTACCTTCAGCCCTTACAGACCATTTTTGTTTTACAGCTTGCCTCCCAAAGGCAGCTGCTCCAATTCCATTTCCCCAGCCCACTTTACCCTACCACGCTGACGGTCAGCATTTTGGTTCTTGGCCGACAATTTCCATGCCAACTCTCTGTTGCTGTCCTTTTGCCATAGCGTCAAATGACAAGGACAGGTTCCTGGCAGCAGCCGGGGGAGGGAGGCTCCCACACTAGCAGGGTCTCAGCACTGTGGTATGCTCACCCTGCCTGGAGCACCAGCCCTTCTACCTCTGCGGGGGGCCTTCTAGGTGAGCCTGCCTTACAGGGTTCTCCACGCCCCAGTGAGCTCTGCCTGATGGTTCTCATGGACAGGAGACAAACCAGGACAAAGATTCCCATGACCCTCCTCACCCATGAAGGAGGAGGTCAGCTGTTGGGCCTCACCTTGTTCCTGGCAAGCACGTTGGCTCCTGCTTTAATGAGCAGCTTGGCTGACTGGCTAAACCCATGCCACGCGGCTTCATGGAGGGCTGTATTCCCGTCCTGAGGAAACACATTGGAAGACAGCACATTACCCAGTGTCTGGCTCTTCTCACAAAAACAACGTATTCCGGTGGCTACAGAGCCTTCCTCAACGGGGCCCACCAGAACCACGGAGCACAGAAAAATATCTGAGCGGGCCAGTCTCTCCTTCTCCTAGTGACAGCAGAGGACAAGAGCTATTCAGAGCACACAGAGGAGAAACGACCTCCTGAGGTGCAGCAGGTGGGTGCCTGGGCCAGGGCCTAAGGCTCCTTGGAAGCAGGCCACCCAGAAAGGCTCCAGGGCCTCCCACAGTTTGTCTACAGCAAACAACACACTTGAGATGGCACACTGGCACTCCTTCCCACCTCCACTGCCCCCTAGGCACCACCATGTTCCCGATCCCTGAAGAAGCCCTGCCAATGGGCCTTATTAAGACCCAGGAGCCCAGTGGGTAGATGATCCCACCAACCCCATTTCTTCACCAAAAATTTTATTATATATTTAAGAGAGGGTCTTACTATTTAGCCCTGGCTGTCCTAGATCTCTATACATAGACTAGGCTGGCCTCAAGTCTAGAGATCCCAGGAGAGCTAGGATTAAGTGCACATAGCCTGGCGGTGGTGGCACATGCCTTTAATCCCAGCACTCAGAAGGTAGAAGCAGGCTGATCTCTGTGAGTTCAAGGCCAGTATGGTCTACAGAGAGAGTTCCAGGACAGTCAGGGTTATACAGAGAAACCCTGTCTCCAAAAACCAAAAACCAAAAACAAGCAAACAAACAAAAAAAGAGTGAAGGCATGTAACACCATGCCCATCTCTTAATCAAAATTGAGTGGTCTCTAGTTTAGTATAAAACCCCCAGGATTCTAAATGACCAGTCATGGAAGAAACAGTGATTGTAAATAAGCTAAACAAGATTTCTAGATACAAGATTTTTAAATACAAACTAAAAAAATGGCTCCCATTTGCTTATGAGAGAGGGAATGAAAGACAGGCAGGTAGGAACACACATGTCCCTACCCGGGGCAGGAGTGCATTCTCCAGTTATGTTCATCCAGAGATGTGCCCAAAAGAGCTAAGGCCCAATACACCTGGCACCCAAGAAGAGAGCCGGGGTTCCCGAGACGAGGCTGGGAAGGGCGAGGGGCCACGAGGCCCGGCTGGGACCACTAAAGGAGCAGCAGCCGCAGCAAGAGACAGGGAGACAGAATGGCCCTGGGCTGCAGAGGCACCACTCCTGACCCGGAGCCCCGGAGCGCTGAGGAACCCTGCGCACATTTACCGTCTGTGAGCTTTTCTGCACATATACCATATTTTATTGAAAAGCTGTGGGGGGCAGAGGACACAGAGGCCGTACTGCACTTAAATACAAAAATCCCACATTTAATTTAAAAACATCGGGTTAGTATACATGTGTCACTGGGATTCTTTGAAGAAAGAAATTATCCGGTTCACTCTCTTTCTTCAAAGTAAAACATTCAACTTGCTTGTGCATCTAAGAAACAGAGCCTCTGAGGATGCTTTTCCCACCTTTAGCAGACTTTCATAGGTCCCGACTTCCACACTGACCTGGACTAGAGCTGTTGGCACGGAGCCACAGAACAGCCGGAAGGGTTTGTAAACAAACGTAACTGTTGGGACCCCGATCTTCCAGAGAAATCTAGGTTGACCTCTCTCTGTTGTGTGGTAGGAGAAGGCTAACACCTTGAGCATACCACAGTGAGGCAGGCTGGCTCCTCGGCTCCCCAGGGCCCTCCAGCCCTTACCATCCCTCTCACCTTGTCCTGTCTGTCCAGGGCACATCCCTCCCGGATAAGCGCTGTGATGATCTCAGTGTTTCCCACCACGGTGGCCCGGTGCAAGGCTGTCTGGTCCCCCTAGGAAGTGACACAGAGAGAAGAATAACAGATTTCCCTAGTGGCCCCCACATCACTCCTTCCTTAAGCCAGACACCAGGGCATCTCCTATTCCCTCAAGGAGGAGACTGGTTACTTGCAGAAGGGCTTGGTCACCACAGGCAAGGCAAGCTTTGGGGGTCCCATTAGTAGAGAATGCACACGGGCAGAGCAATTTGGTCCATAAAGTAGAAGGGATCTTACGTCAATAGCAAGAATAGCTGTTGGCCTCAGATCTACCTGTGAAGGAGAGCCAGGCTCCTTCCAGCTACCTACTGGAGACGTGTCTGGGAGCCAGGCTGGGCACGACACAGAGTTCAACCAGCAACTCCTGCGATCCTTATTCCCCACTAGGTCCTCAGGCCCGGATTACAGAGGATTCACTCTCCAGTTGTGGCAGTTTACGGGCCTCATGCTTTGATGACAGGGGTGTAATTTGTTCACTGATTTGCACTAGCCTAGAGCAATGGAGGGGTGTAAGGCCTCCAGGACCGCGGCTTCTTACTGCATACTTCTGAGATACCGCTCGCTGATTTACGCTGCATTCTAACCCTTTCTCAGCAAGCAGATTCCTGGGACTGACAGGTTTTCTCCTTCAGGCACCAAAAGAGAATTTGACTCTTCCCCCTAACTGTGGCAGGGAGGATGTGTAAACACCCCAGAGGTGAGGAGACCACAGTAACAGGAGGGCTCTGAGCTCTGCGCTTCTAGGAACACAGTCCATCTCCGGAATGCACTCAGGCATCAAATCAAGTCAAGCCTGAGGCCCAGGCTTGAAAGGGGAGCTGGGAGAACAGTGTGGATGTTCTCGGGTGGAAATAGTGAGTGAAGGGCCAGGGAATCCGGAGAACGGGTTTGGGTACCGTTCTGGTAAAGCTCTATCAGCTTGCTGAGCCTCAGGACCCTCACGGGAAAAGGTAGGGCCAGGGTTCTCTTTCATCTGGGATTCTATGATTCGGCTGGTAAGATTGACATCAGTGCATTTTCCAAACAGAGCACAGAGGGGCAAGGAACACATTCTGGAACTCCCCTGGTCCCTAGTCCAAGAGAGGCAGGAGCGACTGTGGAAGACAGACAGCCAAGAGCAACTTCAGGAGGGCTGCCCCCCCACCTACGGCAGCTTGAATGACACATTCTGACCTCACTGAGCTTCATCACAGAGACACACTAAAGGCATGTGCTCCAAGAGGACAGTCCTGGAAACAGACTGTGGTGGCGGGGGTGCAGGGATTTACTCAGCAACTATATTGAAATATGGCCAAGAGGATATGTTTCATGTCACCATCTGCATGCGCGTGTTTTATCATAATAGAAAACACACTCAGTCCTAGCCAAAACACACATTTGGCTGGGTACGATGGCACACACCTGTAATCCCAACACTCAGGGGGCAAAGGTAGGTGGATCATGAGGTTAAGGTCAGACTGGGCTAAATAGTGAGATTCTATTTCCAAAACAAGACAAAATAACCCCAAACCAAAAAAAATTAACAAAAAACCACCTGCTTTTCTTAAAATTAAAAAAAAAAAAAGAGCCTCTCTTTAAAAATCCAAGAGAAGGGGGCTGGAGAGATGGCTCAAGAACACTTGTTGCTCTTCCAGAGGACCTGGGTTCAGTTCCTAGCACTCACATGACACTCACAGCTGTCTGCAACTCCAGTTCCAGAGGGTCTAACACCCTCTTCTGGCCTCCATGGGCACCAGGCATGCATGTAGTGCACATACTTACATGTAGGCAAAATACTCATGCACATAAAATATTTTTTAGAAAATTCTAAATCACAAGAAATGATTTTGATTTCTTCCTTTTCTCTTGAATCCTCTTGGGTTGCCAGTGTTGAGTCGTCATTAGTGGTCCTACTCAGCTTAGACCCCGTGTGCAAGAACACCATCCAGCAAGGCAGGGTGAGCCCACTGTGCATCAGTGCAACTCTGATGTGGGGTGCAGTGGTTTAAGTGAGATGTCTGTCCCACATGCTCCTATGTTTGTATACCTGGTCCTCAGTTGGAGGAACTGTTTGGGAACAGCTGAGTGACCTTGTCAGATGAGGTGTATCCCTGGGGGTGACTTTTAAGGTCTCAAAACACTTGAACTATTCCCAGTGTGTTCTCTCTCTGGCCCCTGCTTGAGGATCAAGATGTGAGCTCTCAGCGGTTCCTGCCGGCATGCCATGGACTCTCACCCTTTGAAACCATAAGCCCAAATAAACACTTCCCTTGTAAGTTGCCTTGGTCATGGTGTGTTGTCACAGCATTAGAAAAGTAGCTGAGACAGGGGGGTAACTGCTGCAGGCCGCAGGAATATATCATAAGAACTCAGCTGGTTATGGCAAAGTCACTACCTGGAGGAATCAGGGAATTCCTCCAGAGGAAGCCAAATCCCAAGGAGTTTTTGGTGTTACTTGGCTTGTTATATATCAGCTGTATTCTGTTATGAAAATCATGTGTGCCTTCATAGTTTTCCCAACTGACTTCCCTAAGAATTGCTAACAGTGTGCACTGATCACTCTCTGGACATACACATTCCAGGTATTTGGAGAACAGCCTCAGGAAAGGCTTTCTCTGGAATCAGATATCTCCCTTAGCCACTTTCAAGGACTACAGGAAACACCACCCAGGTGAGCACCCAACTTTCCGAGGACTAACAATGATAACAGCCCACGTGCAAGTCTCCTGACTTAAATTCCACAAGGGGACACCGCCTAGGAGAGGTTGACGTTAAGTAATAGCTTTTCACGATTTAGCTCGGACCCTCCCTTTATATACCAGGACTTCCAGGGCAGTGGACAGAGAAGAGAAAAGAGAATGGAAGAACCAGATGGGTAAGAACTTGAGAGGAACAAACTGAGATTGAAGGGCTAGATTGAAGAACTAGATTGAAGGGCTAGTAGAGAGGACTAGAGGAACGAGATGGAAGATGAGGAAGAGCCAGATGGGGAAGAACAAGATGAGGAAGAGCCAGATGAGAGAGGAGATGGGAGAGGAGCTGATAGGGGAAAGAACTAGATAGATGAGAACCTAGAGGGGACAGTAGATAAAGAGAGAGAGAAATCAGGCAAGAAAGGAGCTAGACATGAGAGCAGAATAGAAGCTGTATATAGAGAGAATGATCACAGAATAATAGTGTATGAACTAAGAGGTTTCGTGTACATAGATTCATTTCTTTTCATCAAAGATTAATTATCAGCTGGTTGTAGATTCTTCCCGGACTCTGGGAGGGGACTATCGAGGGGCTGGACCCCCATAGTCCCCGATAGGTAACCACCTGCTTGCTGACTAGATTTCATGCCTGTTCCACAGGAGGGCATTCACATCTGGTAGCATGAACTCTGTCATGGATCTGCGGCTGGGGAGCTCATAGGGCCTACCTGCACAGACATGATGTGCCTCTCAAACTGCCTTCTAAATAATGCTGTTTGCGCCCACAGAATAGTGCTGGGGACTCCTTTAGTTGGAGAAGCTTCTTTTTGCAGTGGTTATTGGTGACTGCACAGACTCAGGACTGGTCAAAGTACTTGGAGACTTTTTTTTTTTTTTTTTGGTTTTTTGAGACAGGGTTTCTCTGTGTAGCTTTGCACCTTTCCTGGATCTCACTCTGTAGACCAGGCTGGCCTCGAACTCACATATAACTTCACATATAAACTACTACCAGTTACAAGTTTAAGCGGTAAGAAGACACCAGGAACAGGATTCCCGTCTAGCAAGTTTTTCTCACAGTTCACCTGATAATCTAAGGGACTTCACATGCTGGGGTGAGGATGTCCAGCCTGCGTCACTGCAGAGGAACTGGTACTGCTGTCAACAGCTCTCTCCTTGACACTGTGAGCTATTATCACATCGACGACAAGTCAGATTTGGACTGTTTTTCTTCCTGTTCGCCCTCCCAGTATCCTGCTTGGAGAGGACCTTCTCCATGTGCCTTGTGATCAGAAGAAGAATGTGGCACTGAACAGGGGCTGCAGGGCTGAGCTGGGCCAGACATCTGAGAATAGTGCTCCAGGTGGAATAATGCTCAATGCCCAAACAAGTCAGACGGGACAGTGCCTGGGCCTCAGCTTTTAAAAATCCCATTAGAATTTCTAAGACATCTTATTTCCCTATCAGATCAGTCATGGGTTTTTCCAAAATGATCATGGGAAAGATTGTTCTCGACAAGAAACGTGAGTTCAGTACTGAGTCAAGTTCCCAATAGGAAAGGCCCTTTAACCACCGCATAAATGACAGGCATTCTGCCAAGCATTCCTTGGATCAATTGGAGCAACCTTTTTAGAAGAGACCTGCGTTCTGAATTATGCATGACGTGCAAGCAACACGCCTTAAGCATACAGGTCTTGTCAAATGACCACATGAAGGGCTTGGTTCAGGTCAAACATTTCACCTTGTTCCATAAGCTGCTCAGGAAATCAAGAGCTGGTGCAGCTTTGGGCCAGTGTGGCACCACTGTTTATTAATTACGTCTTTGCTCAGAGTGTAGTTGCTTCCTTTGAGACAACTTTCCTTTGCGAGACTCCGACTTGATGCAAGCAGCTCAACCTAACGCTCGGCTCAGTTCTCAGCAGGACATTTTCAAATGGACTGTCAAGATTCAAGAAGACTTGACGCTTGTGTGCGGCTGCAGTGGGAAGCCAAGCCGTCCCGAGCTGGCTGGCCCATCCAGTCGCAGCCTTGTGTGCAGGCAAGTCCCTTCCAGCTTTATTCTCCCGCGAGAGCTTGGCTCCTTGCTCCCCGTGTCTATTACTGCTGGGCAACGACACTTGGCCCTGCTCCCCATGGCAGGACAAACAGCGCTGCTCACAGCGGCTAGACCGGTTTCAGAGGACGCTTCCTCCAACTCTTATAAGCTAGCCATCTTAGGTTACCAAGATGAGAATGAAAGGTTCTCAGAAAGACAAAACATGGGGACAAAGAGCTGCCTCCCACTATCCATGTGACTACTTCATCTCTAGAATACACAGCACAGTTAAATCTAGACCCTCAGCTGAAGGACACTCAGTTTCAGCTGAAGGACACTCAGTTACTTGAGAATCAATTCTAAAACTACATATATATATATATATATAAAACTAGCTACATGTCCTCCTCAAAACATAATACAAAAGTCATGTTTGACCTACTAGTGGGCCCATGCAGCAACTCTGACATAACTGTTTGAATAGGATCTGAATCAACCAGGAAATTCTGAAACTGAAAAGAAAATGTAGAAGAAAACCAAGCTCGCTCAACACATTTTCTCAATGTTCAGTATTTATTGATCCCTAACTATGTGCCAGGAGTTACGCCATGTAATTCTCTTGTTATATTGATAAGCCTCACCTAGGAGAGCTAGCTAATTCAAACTGTCAAGGCTCCCTTCCTTCACAGCAAGCTGCTTCCAGCTTTTGAGGTCAGATAACCTCACCACTGGTCTCCAAAAGAAGCCAGTGTCTCTGTGAGGTGGGGGCTGCCTCACTGTGCAAGCTTCGAGTGCAACACCGAGGCCAGTCTCTAAGGCACCAGGATCTATTTGTTGAACTGTTAACCGAGAAGACGCCAAGGAAGAAACTAGAAGCCGCAGCAACATTGCAATTGGCATTCTGATTTGACATGCTGACCTGTTTGCAAACAATATGGACTGTCCACGCTCCATATTCACGAGACATCGAGACATCGGTGTTTCTCACTCAAGAGCGCTGGAACCTAAGGTCTAAATCTTTGTTCTGAATTACTTATATCTCCATCTCCTATGTAGTGAAAAGCATTGGGAGTTCCAAAGCCAAGCGCGTGGAAAAAGCCCCCAGTTGTGCAAGGGCGCAGCACACCCACTTTGGGAGGAAGCCCCCAGGGACCCAAGCAAGCATGCCGTAAGTAAGCCCTACACCGGGTAGGCACACAGAGCAGGGTGCTGACCTCTTCTCTCTCAGATCTTCTAGGATCCTTCCTAGCCTTTCTTCTCTGCTTTCTCTTATTTTTGTCTTCCTTCATGCTTTTTACTGTGGCCACAGGGTCCTGGACTACTTCTGGGGTAGGAGTCATGTGATTACTCATTGACCAATCAGAGATGGCGTTTGAGCTCCACTGAGCATTGATAGGATTTGCGGGAAACAAGACAGATTTTGCTCCCGGAGATGCGGGTTGAAACTCATAATAATCCCACTCCAGGCCACTGGAGGTCATTCTTCCTCTAATTCTCAGACATTACCATGCCATAAACATCAGTATCTGCAGAATATGAAGTTAGAAGTGAATCTTCATAAAGTCAACATTCTGCCGGGCGGTGGTGGCGCACGCCTTTAATCCCAGCACTCGGGAGGCAGAGCCAGGCGAATCTCTGTGAGTTCAAGGCCAGCCTGGGCTACCAAGTGAGTTCCAGGAAAGGCGCAAAGCTACACAGAGAAACCCTGTCTCGAAAAACCAAAAAAAAAAAAAAAGTCAACATTCTATTTCTACCCATCTCCCAGATGGGGAACTTCTAAACTGACTCCCCTGTAGTTAAATTCCCCTCTTCTTTAATGACAAGAAAGCAGTTTATTTGCATTTTTGTGCATAGCTCAGAGCTGATTGTCAACGGGCACGGTAGGCACACAGGAAACAGCCGAGTATCACACCAACCCTGCCTTCTCCAACTTTCACACTGTCTGTTGGTACACCATCAAGGATTGTGTTGTTATTTGGAGAAGCGAGGTATGCACTGTCTGTGTAACAGGAAATGATGGAAAAGACCCAAAGACTCAAATGAGAGAGGTTTTGTTTTACCTAAATATAGGGCTGGCTTTCCTTCTGCCCTGGCTCACCAGGGCTTCGTACGCTGTGAGAATTCTCTCCTTCTCTGCTTCCTTCCACATCTAAAACATCAGCATAGTGTCTGCTGCATGAGACCACAGTGAGCCTCAGACTCAGGACCTGAGTAGAGGTTGGAATGGGTTGGCATGCCTGGCATTGTGACCTTGCCACTGTGGCAAACAAGAACTTCAGTTATCAAAGAGAAGACTAGACTATTCCAACGTGTTTGTACCAGCAACTGGAGGCCCCACCTTTCCATTGATCATTTCTTTATGCCATCTCCCTGTATTTTACTCCTGTCCTCTAAGGGGATGGTATAGGTCATGAATGTTATACTGGTTACAGTGTAGAAAAATAAAGTGTTACGACCAAGATGAGAATCAACAGCTTAAAAAAGCTAAGTCAGCATTTTTGAGAATAACACCCTTGGTGACCCCATAGGCTTCAGATACAACCAGAGATTGCTATAAGATGCTGATGACCCTGTGTCCATGACAGGGTCTCATATATCCAAAGCTAACCTATACAGACAGGGTCTCATGTATTCAAGGCTAGCCTGGCTACTTGCTATGTAGCCAAGTCATTTATGAATGTGTTTGTCAAATTTTAGGAGACTGTACAGAGCTGCAAGGAAAATTCTAGGTAGTGTTATGGGGAGAAGTTATCATAAGGCCAAACTCTGTAAGATGCTGTTACTTACAGGACTTTTCATTTCTTAGAATTCTACCATATCATTGAAAGATGAAGGGGGGCAGTGCTGGAGAGCTGGCTCAGTGGTTAAGAGTAATTGCTGCTCTTTCAAAGGACCTGAACTTGATTCCCAGCACCCACATGGTAGTTCACAACCATCTACATACTACAACCATACCATACTACAGTTCCAGGGAATCTGATACCCTCTTTCTGGTCCCTGCAGGCACCAGGCATGCGCAGAAACACATGCAAGCAAAACACCCAAAATAAAATAATTTTCAAAAAGAAAAAAAAAAAGAGTTGAAACAGTTTCTGAAAATAGTTCCCAATCACATCGCCATAGGGTTTTTTCCTTAATAACTCACTGGAGGACAATTTAGACCATCACTCCTCAGAGACTCTACCTTCTCCAAAGACCAAGAGAACAAGGCTCTGTGCTGTGCCGTCCCGCTTACTCATAGACTAGACATGATGCTGAAGGAGCCAGTGGGAGCCCTCTCCCAACAATCTAGATGGACATCTCAGTGCGGATGGGAGTCGGACCCAGTGAGCTGACAGGAGTCGGACCCAGTGAGCTGACGGGAGTCAGACCCAGTGAGCTGACGGGAGTTGGGCCCAGTGAGTGGATGGGAGTCAGACCCAGTGAGCTGATGGGAGTCACATCTCAGTAATAGCACAGGACGACCAGTGAACTCTTTCCAGAGGCCTTATTCTTGCATTCTATTCTCAGTCTCTTTCCCCCCTTTTAGACGGAATGGAACTTCTAACTAAATGTACACTAAGAGAAATTAAGGATGGGTTAAGCCTCACCTTTTCTCCAGCAGTAAATTTGGTTGATGACACACACACACATCCAATGGGTTTTTCCCACACTCACTGCCGGAGTGTGGCCTTTGTACTAAGACAAGACACAGGTCAATGTCCTCAGATACTCTGCCCTCAAATGCTAATGAGGTGATAGGGAGATTGGAGAGCCTCCTGCAAGCTAGTTTGCTGCTGAGAACAGGTCTCCCAGAAGGTATCCCCAAGAACATTTTTGCCAGCACAGGGACGAGGCTAGAGCCAAAAAAAAAAATTCTGGCAAGCATCTAGTACCCTCCCTCCTCATACTGGTGACATCTGCACTGAGGACTGCCACTGTAGACAAGCTCCCCTGCCAACCCTTCTCTGGAGGGAAGGATGCTTATTTATACTTACATCATCCTGCACATCGAGGTCACAGCCAGCCTTCAGCAGAATCTGGACCACAGAGAGATGACCCTTATTGGCAGCAAGGTGCAAGGGGGTCCGGCCATGCTGTCAATGCAAAGAAAAGACCTGGTTTCAGAACTAGACGCACCAAGGGCCAGGGCACTAAACAAAGAGGACACAGCGGCTTTTAGGAACGCCTCTGCCGCTCACCCCAGCTGTGCTTTCGCTCTGGCAGATTCTCAAGGAACTGATTCAGAATTCAAGTTGCCTTGCTTAACTTTGGCCACGGGCATTGTAACTGACCACCCCCTCAAATGCTCAGCTGGGAGCGGTGGGCATGCCTTCATGCCTTTAATCCCAGAAAAGTCAGGTGGATCTCTGAGTTCTAGGCCAGGAAGGGCTACATAGCAAGACCCTGTCTCAAATCACTAATAATAATAATAATAATAATAATAATAATAATAATAATAATAATGTTAAAAGCAAACATTCCCTTATGTATAATTTTTATGTCCTACTCTTCAGTGGTAAAATGCGGGGCTCCTCGTGCTCCCATTTCCCCACTAGTGCTAATACCATGAGGTGGTGAAGGCTGTGACCGTGAATCTGATGGGACCGTGAATCTGACAGGACCGTGGGCAGGACACAAACAAATGTCAAACCCATTGGCTCCTGCAGATCTAGTCAATAACCCCATAAGGTTAAAAGCCATAGCCAAGCGGAGGTGGAAAAGGCTTTGCTTCCTTTGAAAAACAGATTTTTAAAAGTATGGAAAAATAGTATATCAAGAGCCACATATCTGCCAACTATTTAAAAAAACAAAACCAAAAAACCCAGAGACACTATTGCTGTTCTTGTGACTGCCTCCCAGATCTCTCTGTGGCCCCAAGAACTAACTCTTCTCTGGAATTTGGCATTTATCTTTTCTTTGTCTTTAGTTACATTGTTGCCCCCTGTCTATTGCCAGGGGCAACATCCAGATTATTGTTTTCAACTACCTCATGCCCCGTAAGCAACAGAGTATGCTTTTCTTTTTGCGATTTTTGTTTGCTGTTGGGGTTTGGTGCAACATTCTGTTCTGGTGATGTTGCCGATGTTCAGGTTTCCTACTGGCCACCCAGGTGTCCCTGGGGACTGCACCAAAATGGGCTTCTCAGCCCTGAAGCAGCGTCACAGCGGTTCATTCCCTTCCCTGCAACTGTGCCAAGTTTGTGGGCACCCACAATGTGTGATACCGGAAAGAAAGCGCACTCTGCTGGGTGTACATTAGCTTCTGTCCAGGGAACTGACCTTGTAAAACTTCTACCTCTCCAGGCTCTTACCTCTAGAGACACCATTTTCCTTGAGGATTCACTATAAAGAAAAGTTCAAGTGACTTTGGCATTTGAGGAAAAGGGGGCTCAGAGGACCTTGTATCCAGCTTAGCATCTCACTAAGAACCCACTGCCTTTTTGATATTCTAGTGGAATACACATGTTTATGATCTCAATAAAGTGCCATTCTGCCATGATAACTAACCATGGAGAAAACAACAGACAAATTAAGAATCTGAATTCCTAGCCATGAAATCCAATCAAAACAGTAGAATGAGTCTGGAAAGAAAGAGGCCAGAGCTTGCTTTAAAATTAGAATTCTTAATTAAGGGACAAAGTTACTCCCAAGAATTAGGCTATAAAAAACCTTCACAAAAAAGGGCAAGGTCAGAGACGAGACAAAGGACTGACCTTTCTCTGCTCACCATGAGCTATCTTACCCTGGATCCTTTCAGTGAGATGGCCACAGTGCCCCAGATGGAGGGAAGGGACTGGGCTTTAATCCCTGGGCCCAGGATCAGGCTCCAACTGTCATCACATGTCCTTGTGAATGACCTCACATGTCAACACCGATTAAGGGACCTTCATAAAGTTTTCTAAGGCATTCTGAATCTCAGGCAGCTTGTCGTGGGGGTGAGGGGATGTGTGTGCTGTGAGGACAGAGTCACTGGAGTCAAAATCAAGTGCCTTAAACAACCAGACAACAGAGCAGGGCAGGGGGTGGGAGTGGGGGACTGCTCGGAAAGAAGCTAGACCCAGGACCACAGCCCAAGAGAGGGCGGGGACCTTCCTGCCACCACCCACCCGTTCCTGATGGGTAAGGCAGATAAAAGGTTTGTCCAGGTGAACACAGGCAGAGGGCAGGAGGAAACCCTGCTGCGGTTCCTCTGTGGAGCCTAAAGTTGGCAGGAATGCCTGGCCCTACCGTTCCTGTGCTGAAGCCCCAATCCCTGGTGGAATGGCCTCTGGGCAGGGAGCCAGCAGCAGGATTAGTGCCTTGTAGATGGGGCAGGTGACGATACAGTGCTGCACGGTGCTGGCCCCTTGACTTGGACTCTGCAGTATCCAGAACCGTGAGAACCACAGTCTGCTGCTTGGGCGGCCATTCTCTGGCACCTTGTTTCAGAGGCTGAGATGGACAAAGATGGTTCACACAGATCCCATGCCTGTGCGCACCCAGAAACTACCAAACACAATGTCCCTGAACTGCAGACATGTCCTAAGCCAAAGTCAGTTGAGAGGTAAAAGGCTAGGGCCGCTGGAGCCAGATAATCTCAGTGAGAGCTAGCAATGCCTCGTGCTTTTGTGTAGGACAATGACCTAAGCCTGCTTTCTCACCTGTCAAACCGGAATGGACTCCACACCCCATACTTGAGATAAAAATGAAGTACAGCCCTCCATCTCGAGTGGGTTTCCCTGCTGCTGCTGTCTGTCCTTGGCCCCCTGAGCTAAGGATACCCCCAAGCGCTGTGCCTCCTTGATAGACACCCCTACACCTTTACCACAGCAAAGTGGTGGGCTAGTTACACTGTCATACGGGTCTGAGGGAAGACACAGGGTCTAGCTTTCAGGGCTCCCACTCAGCAGCCCCTCCTGTCCCTGAAGTTCCCAGGAACACCTTTCCCCAAACTCCTCCTGCTCTTGTTCCCCCAAGACATGACCCCAGCCATCTCCACACTCATGGCATTTGGTGTCCCGTGAGAAAACCACAGAACATTCTCTGTTGTGTGTCATCCTGGGTCCAGCTGGGGTGTGATCTCCTGAGAGAACGGTGCCTTCCACGATGAAGCAGGTTGACACTGGGTGGTCAGAGGGCCATACGCAAGAGGCCCAGGGCTCCTGGAGCACAGTGGTACTGGAGCTAATTCCATGACACTGGATTGACCCCAGGAAACAAATGGAGACTGTGGGCTGTTGACAAGCTCAGGTTCAAGGATGTCTCTGCCCCTCAAAGCACATGTCAGCCTCTTGGGCCATTTTAGCAGATGTGGGCACACGGGCTCCTCTGAGAAGGTGCTGGGTGTCACCCACACTCAGCTCCTTTGCTGAGAGAGCACAGCACTCGCAAAAGCAGGCCGGTTTCCTTCAGTAGCTGAAGTTGTTCACCTCTGACAAAGGAAGAATGCAAGAAGCGGAAACGGGCTTTGTTTTCCAGAACATTCTGTAGTGAAAAGCAAGACTAGTGGGACCTCTCAGAGAGCAGGCTCTCCCCACCCAGTGCAGAGCACACCTCCCCTGATTTATGGAAAACACAAGAAAATAGATCCTTAGAGGCATCTCTGAACAACCTAAGTCAAGAAGAAACTGCTGCTATTTCCAAGCCCAGGACTGTTGGGGAGGAAACGCAAGCAGGAGAAAAGACTGTGTAAGACAAATGCTGTGAAGAAGTGTTGATGCATCCTAGATTCTACCCTGGTCATTCTCAGAGACAAGCCTGACTCAGCCTAGACCGTCTCCACAGAGAACAGGGAAGATAGGAGCCGAAGACAGCAGCAGTGGACACTTACTGTCCCGAAGATGCTGTCTTAAGAAGCTTGCGTTAGCTCATTCAGTCCTCCAACAAGCCCATTTTACAGGCGAGGAAGCAAGAGGCAAAAGAGACTGTCACTTGTTCTAGAAATATAGACTCAGTCCTTAAGCCCTCTGACCCTATCACAGATTCAGCTATACACTGCCCTGGGGTGTGTGTGTGTGCGTGTGCGTGTGCGTGTGCGTGTGTTAGTTTGCTTTCTACGCTGGTATAAACATCATTACCAAAAGCAACTTTAAAAAGGAAGGGTTTAGCTTATACTTCCATGTCAAAATCCTTCATTAAGGGAAGGCAGGGCAGGAACCCAGAGGCAGGAACTGAAGCAGAGACCATGGAGGAATACTTATTGGCTTGCTCAGTCTGCTGTCTTCCACACCCCAGGAACACCTGCCTAGGGGTAGCTCCACCTTCCACACCAATCATTACTCCAACAGTGTCCCACAGACCTGCCTACACACCAATCTGACACAGGCAGCTTCTGACCCAAGGTTGTGGCAGATTGACCCCAAACTAAAGAGCATGGGGGTTCCAGCAGTGGAGAAAGGAACACTGGGTATGGCTTTCGGGATGCTCTTGAGTTCTTGAAGGTTGTGCCCAGACACTGACCCCTTGGAGCTCTGAGACATCACCTGGTTTCCTCAGATCTGAAAGGACGAACAGAGACTTTCTATTCCTAAACCTCCTGGGGAGCTGAGTCCGTCCGTGATGGCTGACCCACTCCTTCCTGCAAGGGTCTCCACCAAACTGTAGGACCCCACTACCAGTTCTCACACAGCCTTCCCAGGTGATGCTGCTGATCTTCGGCAGCTGTGAACACAGGACGAGAGGAGGAGGGGCCAGGATAAGTCTTCCAAAGAGGGTCCCTCGGGCTAAACATGCCAGGCTGGGCCTGCCCAAGCAAGAGCTATTCCTCTGGCTGCGCTTTTCTTGGTGGCCTCCTCATTGTCATCAAGGAAGAACACTGAGCCAGGGCATTTCTTCTTCACGCTTTGGCAGTTCTGTTCACAAGCTACAAAAGCCACAGCTCCTGGCAGCGACAGCACAATGCTATGTACTATGACCGTAGTGCTTCCTCTCCTGGGCATCGGAATATCCTGGAGGACCAGCTGCCACACGGACAGCTGGGTCTCTTGCCGTTGTTCCTGATTCAGAGTTTGGCGGAACCTACTCATCTGCATTTCTGATAAGTGTCTGAGAGGTGGATACTGAAGGTGGGACCGACCGTCAGCCCGAGCGCCACTCACTTAACCCACTAGTTTTCA